AGCACTATCATTTGGATCTTAGAGCTTAGACTTTGATGCTAAAACTTTTTGCCACTGGCCACAGTTTTCCGACAGCCTCCAGTCAGGGATCATTTGAGCCTTTAATTAAATATGTCCTTTCACTTCTTGATAGATTGTCCCTGTGCCCTTGTATCTTTCCCATTATATTTCAAATTCTCATTTCCTTCCCATGTAGAACGAAGCAAATTGCCAAATCACATGAGCTGAATTATACATTTAACCAAATGTATTATTCAGATATTAATTCTTCACAGCCGATTTGTTGTTTTACAGAAAATTAACCTGGAGATGAACCGATATTTTGTGTATACTTTGACAGATTAGTTCATGAATAATTTTGTCCGAAATTCAGGATTCTCGAGTTTAATGGAAGCAATTCTGAGGCTTTTGTTCCGTCCGCCTTCTCCATCACACGGATAGATTTTTTCTGCGTTTTTGCCCATCTGTGTCTTCTCTGGTCGGACTGGGCGCCTTTTAGCCGGAGTCCCGCTGAGCACAAAGAGGCGTCTTGCAGGAGCACTCTCTCCGTCTCTTCAGCCTGACCTTCTCTCTGTCCTCACGCTTCACTCTTTTTCTACGTCTTGATGTAGATTTCAGAAATGTCTCCATAAAAGGATTTTTACTTATGGTTATCGTTAGGTGTTTGCATAAAAAGCCTTTGTATAATGTTTTAGCCTGAGTTTAGTGGATTCAGGGAAGATTTAAGGACAAGGTTGGTTTCTGTGATCATTTTAGGAACAGCATGCCTCTCTCTTTTAGGGTCACAAAACCGGACTAGACCAGACCCAGACCAGGGCCTCAGTCGGTCTCACACGAAATGTAATTTGTACTATGGTGTGGTACGACCAGGACTACAGATGAAAAATAGCGGTTTGGCTAATTCTGGCATAGTTACATTAATATGCACTGTCCCTGTAAAACATAAATAAATAAATAAACATCAAAAGAAGGTGTAAACAAATGATTTATGTAATTAGTCAGAATATCCATTTCCACAGGGGGCCAAAGCAGCTTCTCCTACTTTCAGTTTTACCTGAGACAGCACATACAGTTGTTAGAAAGATCTTTTTGGGAAAAGATATGACTTTGTGCTGAAAATTCTCTTTAATGCGGTATAAGAGGCAACCTTGAACTTTTATTGAAGCAAAAATGTCTTTTTGGCAGCAGCCCACTCTGCAGGACCCGTCAAAATGCTTCCACTATTCTTAAATTGCAAAGCTGACATCATCATCTTATTTTGCTGAAAGCATCGGAGCTGTAAATTCAGTGGTAGATAATAATTTGCTTTTTAGAAATCTACTTTTTTCCAGCCGTCTTCACCAAAACCTCTGGCGAAAGCTCTTTTCCTCCACACGCCTCTCTCTCAGCGGGATGTCCTGATTGAGGCCGACAGCAGTGATTATGATTGCTAAATTTCTCCCCAAAATTGCCCTAAGAGAGAAAAAAAAAAAAAAGTAATTCCCTGCGATTCAAAAAAACATTTCTTATCTTCAATTACCTGCAGTTTTCAAAGTGTTGCAGTTACTACCAGCAGTGGGGAGCGGGGGGAGGGTCTGACTCCTTTTCTGATATCAAAAAGTATCAAACAGATTCAGAAACACGTCTATAAGAGATTCCCACAGAATGACATTTTATTTTATCACAGTTTATGTCCTGTTGAATCAAAATGGATGGAGAGCAGTCACTGAAACGTGTAAGATCAAGCTTGTGTTATGGTGCCCCCTGCTGGCCAAAGAGAAACGCGGGTTTTACAGCCACTTCCACAGTTATTCAGATCAGATTCAGATTTTTTTTGTCATTTGCAGTAAAATACATTGGAATACGTCCGCAAAAGTCCCCAGTTTGCACAAGACAAGTATATACATAAAACAAGGTTAAAAATACATACAACAGGAATTGAACTGGGAAAACAATTGACAATAAGTTTCAGTACAAAGGCAAGATCATTAAAGTGCTCTGTTCAAAGAAGCTGGGAAGAAGCTGTTAGCATGTTAACATTTTGAGATGTCCTGTATCTCAGAGAACGATATCTTTTGCCAGAGGGAAGGAGCTGGAACATGGCTTTTCCAGGGTGGCCAGAAGAGTCGTTGGTTATTCTAAGAGCTCGGTTTTAAAGTCTGCATTTCCGAGTTCAAAAACAACTGTTGATGGGTCATGTCAGAAATCTATACACTACTTTTATAAAACACCTCCATAAGAATAAGATGTTTTTTTTATTTTAACACAAAACCCCAGATCAAGGCCTGTGGAGGAAGCCGATAACTGAATACATTAGGGTTACAGTATATTTTTGAATCCAGATAAACTGAGGCTGCACGGGATAATTGCTTGCAAATTATTTTTATTCAAATGGGTTTTAAATGTCTGTCCCTAGTTTGACATTTACGTACAATAAAACAGCAGAGTTTGAATATGTCATAACGATAATGGTTTAGTTTCAGGACATTGAAATGAGCTCGATAAATCCTACACAAGTCCTTGACAAAGACAGACTTTAATTCTTGGTGTTTTTTTCCCCGTGTTAGGATTAAACAGGTCACGTCTTACCCAGGTCTGATACCAGGCAACAGAAAAACATAATTGTGAGATTCATAATTGGGCAAATTTAAGAACATTTTTGTGGCAAGTAGATATTTATAACACTTTGTGAATATTTACAAAAGAATTTACCTGTAATTTAGGTCCTTATATCAGTCTGTCTATATCTAGCCTGAACATACCACACCAACGTACAAATTACATAATTGTCAACTTTCGTCTTTAATGGATTGATGGCTATAATTTCTGTTGGTTGCAGGACATTTTTTGGTTGTAGTTGGGGTCTCTTTTAGTTTTTGTCATTACCATCTGCCAAGGCAAGGGCAAGGCAAGTTTATTTATATAGCACAATTCATACACAAGGCAACTCAAAGTGCTGAACAAAACAAAGCATTAAAATCATAAATAATCACAGTACATTAAAAAGAAAGATAAAAATATAAAATCCCTCAGTTGTAGCACAGCTAAACAGAACTGTCTTTAACCTGGTTTTAAACATTGTCAGAGAGGAGGCCTGTCTCACATCTTCAGGAAGACTGTTCCAGATTTTAGCAGCATGAATCTGAAAAGCAGCCTCCCCATGTTTAGTCCTGACTCTGGGCACTAACAGGAGTCCAGTCCCTGTGCTCCTCAGAGTCCCAGCAGGAGTCCAGTCCCTGTGCTCCTCAGAGTCCCAGCAGGAGTCCAGTCCCTGTGCTCCTCCGAGTCCCGGCAGGAGTCCAGTCCCTGTGCTCCTCAGAGTCCCAGCAGGAGTCCAGTCCCTGTGCTCCTCAGAGTCCCAGCAGGAGTCCAGTCCCTGTGCTCCTCAGAGTCCGGGCTGGTTCATATGGTACTAACATGTCACTAATATATTTTGGTGCGAGGCTATGGAGAGACTTGTAACAAGCAGAGCTGTTTTAAAGTCTATTCTCTGAGCCACAGGAAGCCAGTGCAGAGACCTGAGGACCGGACTAATGTGGTCGTACTTCCTGGTTCTAGTCAGGACTAATGTGGTCGTACTTCCTGGTTCTAGTCAGGACTGTCACTCCCGTATTCGTCCCGGAAACCGGATTCGTCCGGAAGTTCAGTTTGATCCAATGAGCACAGGCAGCAGATTACGTCACGGAATCTGGACGGAAGCGGAAGTAAATATAAAAAACTACCTATTAATGCCTAAACTTAACCAGCCATTCCCATAAAATAACCCAGCCTTAACCCTAAACTTAACCAGTCACCACTTAAGGACATATTAAACTTTTTGACATGCGCAAACTGAACTTCCGGACGAATCCGGTTTCCGGGACGAATCCGGGAGTGACAAGGACTAATGTGGTCGTACTTCCTGGTTCTAGTCAGGACTAATGTGGTCGTACTTCCTGGTTCTAGTCAGGACTAATGTGGTCGTACTTCCTGGTTCTAGTCAGGACTAATGTGGTCGTACTTCCTGGTTCTTGTCAGGACTAATGTGGTCGTACTTCCTGGTTCTTGTCAGGACTAATGTGGTCGTACTTCCTGGTTCTTGTCAGGACTCGAGCTGCTGCATTTTGAATGTACTGCAGCTGTTTTACAGCCTGTTTGGACAGACCTGTGAGCAGGCCATTGCAGTAGTCTAACCTACTGGAGACAAATGCATGGATAAGAATCTCCAAGTCTGCTTTAGACACTATGTTTTTGATCCTGGCAATGTCATGAGTTTTCACATCTTGAAATAACAAAAATAGACAATCGTATTTAAAAAAAAGAGCCAGAAGTGATTGCACCGGTTATATTTAGTCTATGGTTTTGCCACTGATTCTTTTACACATATTTCACAAAACTTGCCCTCATCGTTGCCATGGTAACCCTTCTGTGACCCAAAAGAATAAAGAAAACAAGTCACACATGAAAAAGGATAAGAAAGTTACATTTATTTCACAAAGGGCGACACATTCATAAATACTGAGCTGCTGACGAATACCCCCAAGACCCAATGCAAGTTTTTACAGAGGTCAAAACCACATTCCGGTTTCCGATTGGCCGAGACCTGATGCAGATACAGTAAAGACAAGTAGTAAAAATGCCAAATGACATTTAGACAGAGCAGCAACACGTCAAAACTGGATCAGAGTCGAAGAAGGAGCAGCTTTGACAGGACCTCAGCGAGTTAGCCATTTTTAACAACACCAAATCCGCTTCTCCCTCACATCCAACATCTTATCATTTGTTTTAAAAGCTGGCGTCTCCGAGCAGCGTCAGCACAACAGGACGGATACATCACAAGTCACAGTGCAAAGGTGAAAGGTTCTGTGGACAGTTAAACATGGAGAGATCTCGTTTGGGTGTAAAGAGGAGATTCCCTTCAAGCAACATCATAGTTCATAATAGTTCACTGGATCTGGGTCGGTCCTGGGTCGGTCCTGAGCGGGCACTGAAAACATGATGGCGTCCAGAGACTCACGCCGACCCGAGGGCCCGGTCCAGCTTCACTTCTGAATGGATAAAAGGCGTCGGAAAAGCAGGATGTGCGGCTCTGGAAGAGAAGAGAAATGGTGTGAGAGGATTGATGTGGGCAATAAAGTTACTTTAGGATCATCAGGAAGAACTATAAAAATCAACAGAAGCTGTAGAAATGCTTGTCCCGGTTCAGGGTTCAAGGCTTGGTAAAGTCAGATCCAAGACCTTAAAGCGGGACAAAACAAAGTAATAATACTTAAAACTAAACCAAGATTGTGATTTATTCAATTATTTTCAAATATAGATTTTAGGAACTATCAATAACAAATAACTTCACAGAAGATCAAGATGAAAGACCCAGAAGTCCAAGGAGCGGGAACACAAACTGGTGCTGGACCCTCAGTCCTGACTCTGGAGACCAGGTTCTCGTGTCGACGCTGAGCAGGAGCAACAAGAGCAATGGGCTGCTTTGAACAATAAAAATGTTTGTAAAACTAGAAACCGTTGCAATGGCTGAAGCCATTGCGATTGACTGCGGAACAGATCTAATGTGGAATTTAGCTGAAAAATCCTTGAAATCCTTGAAACTGTTAAAATACTTTAAACATCTTTGAAACTCCTGAAGTATTTGAAGCTCCTGATATCCTTTAAACTGTTATCCTTTATACTGGTTTTCATGTAAAAACCCCTATTAAGTTCCATTATACTGGTTTACATGTAAAAACCCCTATTAAGTTGCATTATACTGGTTTACATGTAAAAAACCCTATTAAGTTGCATTATACTGGTTTACATGGAAAAATCCCTATTAAGTTGCATTATACTGGTTTACATGTAAAAAACCCTATTAAGTTGCATTATACTGGTTTACATGGAAAAATCCCTATTAAGTTGCATTATACTGGTTTACATGTAAAAATCCCTATTAAGTTGCATTATACTGGTTTACATGTAAAAACCCCTATTAAGTTCCATTATACTGGTTTACATGTAAAAACCCCTATTAAGTTGCATAATACTGGTTTACATGGAAAAATCCCCATTAAGTTGCATTATACTGGTTTACATGGAAAAATCCCTATTAAGTTGCATTATACTGGTTTACATGGAAAAATCCCTATTAAGTTGCATAATACTGGTTTACATGGAAAAATCCCCATTAAGTTGCATTATACTGGTTTACATGGAAAAATCCCCATTAAGTTGCATTATACTGGTTTACATGGAAAAATCCCTATTAAGTTGCATTGTACTGGTTTACATGGAAAAAACCCTATTAAGTTGCATTATACTGGTTTACATGGAAAAAACCCTATTAAGTTGCATTATACTGGTTTACATGTAAAAACCCCTATTAAGTTGCATTATACTGGTTTACATGGAAAAAACCCCTATTAAGTTGCATTATACTGGTTTACATGAAAAAACCCTATTAAGTTGCATTATACTGGTTTACATGGAAAAATCCCTATTAAGTTGCATTATACTGGTTTACATGGAAAAATCCCTATTAGGTTGCATGATTACACTGAAGTCCTTGAAACTGCCTGAAACTGTCCTTGAAACTGCTGAAGTCCTTGAAACTGCTGAAGTCCTTGAAACTGTTGAAGTCCTTGAAACTCTTGAAATCTTGAAACTGCTGAAATCCTTGAAACTGTTGAATCCTTGAAACTGTTGAATCATTGAAACTGTAGAAATGTCTGAAAGAGCTGAAGTCCTATTAAAATGCATGGGCCTATTAAAATGCATTGCAGAATTCTCAATGCAGATTTTTGTCCGATTGCGGAAAAACCGGAAATCGCTGAAGTCCCAAAAGTAATAGCAATAATCTCCCAAACATGTGGAACGTTTTGATGTATAACTTGTGGAAATTGTTGAAAATGTGAAAGCTGTGAAACGTGTCAAAAAAAATGACGGAATAAAGAAATACAAAACCAATGGTTGACTGCGGAAGGTTCCGCAGTCAATCAATAACAAAAACTAAAAAGGTTGACTTTGTGTTTAATCAATGACATTCACAATGGATTTTTATATTTTCAAATCTTTCCTAATATTTAATGTCACATTCTCTCAAAATTTCTCGTGAAATTTAAAGCGTTTAATGCTGTAATTTGGCCGTGTCAAATGTAATTCCTTCTTAATGATTAAGACCCTGGAGCTCAGCTGTTTGTAACAGAACAATGTTTGTTCTCTTTAAACCACTTAAACAGCAGTAATTGATTGACTGCGGAACCTTCCGCAGTCAACCATTGGTTTTGTATTTCTTTATTCCGTCATTTTTTTTGACACGTTTCACAGCTTTCACATTTTCAACAATTTCCACAAGTTATACATCAAAACGTTCCACATGTTTGGGAGATTATTGCTATTACTTTTGGGACTTCAGCGATTTCCGGTTTTTCCGCAATCGGACAAAAATCTGCATTGAGAATTCTGCAATGCATTTTAATAGGCCCATGCATTTTAATAGGACTTCAGCTCTTTCAGACATTTCTACAGTTTCAATGATTCAACAGTTTCAAGGATTCAACAGTTTCAAGATTTCAAGAGTTTCAAGGACTTCAACAGTTTCAAGGACTTCAGCAGTTTCAAGGACTTCAGTGTAATCATGCAACCTAATAGGGATTTTTCCATGTAAACCAGTATAATGCAACTTAATAGGGATTTTTCCATGTAAACCAGTATAATGCAACTTAATAGGGTTTTTTCATGTAAACCAGTATAATGCAACTTAATAGGGTTTTTTTTCATGTAAACCAGTATAATGCAACTTAATAGGGTTTTTTCCATGTAAACCAGTATAATGCAACTTAATAGGGTTTTTTCCATGTAAACCAGTACAATGCAACTTAATAGGGATTTTTCCATGTAAACCAGTATAATGCAACTTAATAGGGTTTTTTACATGTAAACCAGTATAATGCAACTTAATGGGGATTTTTCCATGTAAACCAGTATTATGCAACTTAATAGGGATTTTTCCATGTAAACCAGTATAATGCAACTTAATAGGGTTTTTTCATGTAAACCAGTATAATGCAACTTAATAGGGTTTTTTTTCATGTAAACCAGTATAATGCAACTTAATGGGGATTTTTCCATGTAAACCAGTATAATGCAACTTAATAGGGGTTTTTACATGTAAACCAGTATAATGCAACTTAATAGGGTTTTTTCCATGTAAACCAGTATAATGCAACTTAATAGGGTTTTTTCCATGTAAACCAGTATAATGCAACTTAATAGGGTTTTTTCCATGTAAACCAGTACAATGCAACTTAATAGGGATTTTTCCATGTAAACCAGTATAATGCAACTTAATAGGGTTTTTTACATGTAAACCAGTATAATGCAACTTAATGGGGATTTTTCCATGTAAACCAGTATTATGCAACTTAATAGGGATTTTTCCATGTAAACCAGTATAATGCAACTTAATAGGGATTTTTCCTTGTAAACCAGTATAATGCAACTTAATAGGGTTTTTTTCATGTAAACCAGTATAATGCAACTTAATGGGGATTTTTCCATGTAAACCAGTATTATGCAACTTAATAGGGATTTTTCCATGTAAACCAGTATAATGCAACTTAATAGGGTTTTTACATGTAAACCAGTATAATGGAACTTAATAGGGGTTTTTACATGTAAACCAGTATAATGGAACTTAATAGGGGTTTTTACATGTAAACCAGTATAATGCAACTTAATAAGGATTTTTACATGTAAACCACTATAATGTAACCTAATAGGGGTTTTTACATGTAAACCAGTATAAAGCAACTTAATAGGGATTTGTACATGTAAACCAGTATAATGCAACCTAATAGGGATTTTTCCATGTAAACCAGTATAATGCAACTTAATAGAGATTTTTCCATGTAAACCAGTATAATGCAACCTAATAGGTTGCATTATACCACCAGACCAAGACCCAAACGAAGACTCAGACCACCACCAGATAATGACCACAGACCAGGTTTCCTTAGTTACAGGAACCAAATTGTTTCAGCGGTGAGGGGATTTTTCAGTTTCAAGGACACTTTCAATACATTCAGTAGTTTCAAGGATTTCAACTGTTTAAGAATTTAACCAGTTTCAAGGATATCAGGAGGTTCAAGGATTTCAGGAGTTTCCACACTTTCAACAGTTTCCAGGTTTAAAAAAAGTTTCAAGGATTTCAGGAGTTTCAATGTTTCAACAGTTTCAAGGATTTCAGGAGTTTAAAGGTTTCAACAATTTCAAGGACTTCAGGAGTTTCAAATATCTATCAAGTATTTTAACAGTTTCAAGGCCTTTTAAAGGATTTCAAGGATTTTTTTTAGCAGATTTCCACATTAGATCTGTTCCGCAGTCAATCGCAATGGCTTCAGCCATTGCAAGTTTCTAGTCATATTTATAATAGATTTAGATTCAAAAACTCACATTGTACATTTGGTTTGAATTGAGACTTTTTGATTGACTGCGGAACCTTCCGCAGTCAACCATTGGTTTTGTATTTCTTTATTCCGTCATTTTTTTTGACACGTTTCACAGCTTTCACATTTTCAACAATTTCCACAAGTTATACATCAAAACGTTCCACATGTTTGGGAGATTATTGCTATTACTTTTGGGACTTCAGCGATTTCCGGTTTTTCCGCAATCGGACAAAAATCTGCATTGAGAATTCTGCAATGCATTTTAATAGGCCCATGCATTTTAATAGGACTTCAGCTCTTTCAGACATTTCTACAGTTTCAATGATTCAACAGTTTCAAGGATTCAACAGTTTCAAGGATTTCAGCAGTTTCAAGATTTCAAGAGTTTCAAGGACTTCAACAGTTTCAAGGACTTCAGCAGTTTCAAGGACTTCAGCAGTTTCAAGGACTTCAGCAGTTTCAAGGACTTCAGCAGTTTCAAGGACTTCAGTGTAATCATGCAACCTAATAGGGATTTTTCCATGTAAACCAGTATAATGCAACTTAATAGGGATTTTTCCATGTAAACCAGTATAATGCAACTTAATAGGGTTTTTTCATGTAAACCAGTATAATGCAACTTAATAGGGTTTTTTTTCATGTAAACCAGTATAATGCAACTTAATGGGGATTTTTCCATGTAAACCAGTATAATGCAACTTAATAGGGGTTTTTACATGTAAACCAGTATAATGCAACTTAATAGGGTTTTTTCCATGTAAACCAGTATAATGCAACTTAATAGGGTTTTTTCCATGTAAACCAGTACAATGCAACTTAATAGGGTTTTTTCCATGTAAACCAGTATAATGCAACTTAATAGGGATTTTTCCATGTAAACCAGTATTATGCAACTTAATGGGGATTTTTCCATGTAAACCAGTATAATGCAACTTAATAAGGATTTTTACATGTAAACCACTATAATGTAACCTAATAGGGGTTTTTACATGTAAACCAGTATAAAGCAACTTAATAGGGATTTGTACATGTAAACCAGTATAATGCAACCTAATAGGGATTTTTCCATGTAAACCAGTATAATGCAACCTAATAGGGATTTTTCCATGTAAACCAGTATAATGCAACCTAATAGGGATTTTTCCATGTAAACCAGTATAATGCAACCTAATAGGTTGCATTATACCACCAGACCAAGACCCAAACGAAGACTCAGACCACCACCAGATAATGACCACAGACCAGGTTTCCTTAGTTACAGGAACCAAATTGTTTCAGCGGTGAGGGGATTTTTCAGTTTCAAGGACACTTTCAATACATTCAGTAGTTTCAAGGATTTCAACTGTTTAAGAATTTAACCAGTTTCAAGGATATCAGGAGGTTCAAGGATTTCAGGAGTTTCCACACTTTCAACAGTTTCCAGGTTTAAAAAAAGTTTCAAGGATTTCAGGAGTTTCAATGTTTCAACAGTTTCAAGGATTTCAGGAGTTTAAAGGTTTCAACAATTTCAAGGACTTCAGGAGTTTCAAATATCTATCAAGTATTTTAACAGTTTCAAGGCCTTTTAAAGGATTTCAAGGATTTTTTTTAGCAGATTTCCACATTAGATCTGTTCCGCAGTCAATCGCAATGGCTTCAGCCATTGCAAGTTTCTAGTATCGTTACTGAAAAGAATAATGTTCATGTTTTTACACCGCTGCAGAATGAGCAACATTAAAGCTCATGAATGAAGAGGTTCCTCAGAAAGTTACTAAAACACTCGTGAAGTGTCTTACAAACAAGAGCTGTGGTCGTTTTAAATCCTGTCAGTAAACTGAAAACTGAATCTGTAAAGTGTTCACCACACGCTCCCTCTGAGGAGACGGCTGCCTCCGCAATCCAGCAATGGATGAAGCGGAAAAAAGGGTTGGATGATCCACAGTAAGGCATTAAAATGAGTTTGTGTTTCTAGTGTTGTCATGATGCCAAGTTTCAAAGTGTGGACGTGATTGTTATCGGTTTGGATGCATCCAGTTTCAAAACAGTCTTTAATGCTCACACTGAACTTTAGTCAAGTTTAATTATTACTCAAAAATACCATAACACCAGAGACATTTATTATTTTGGTCTGGTAAGTTTGTAAAAGGGATCTTCTGAATTGTTTGGGATAAAAAAGTGACACAAACTGATTGCGTAATGTCCATAAATTATCAAGTTATGATCAAAATGTGAGACAGCGCCACCATGAGTCAGATCCTGGGACAATGCTCCTGCTGCAGTAAAGTGACTTTCAAAAACAATCCGTTACAGACTGTATTCTGATCTTCAAGGGCGGATCATCTGAAGCCAAGGACAGCTGTGATGCCTTGATTTCTGGGAGGGTCCGACACCAGTGACCTGCGTTCAAAGGAGGGCGTGGCCGGGTCCTGCTGGCCATATGCTTGTGAATAACAAATCTCTGACATGTTTACTGCAAATCACTGCCTCAAGGTTGAACACAGTAGTTTCAGTGTTTGGCAGCTATTGTGAGGTCTTCTCTGGTAGAACAAAGAATACACATCTCACCAGGTTAAACGGTTATGCTAATCCTCTGCTAGCCACAGAGAAACTAACCAGAGTATCGTGTGAGTTTCAGGCAGCAACTCTGGGATGTCCTGTTGCAAATGACTATAGATGAAAATCCTCTGAGAATTTTAAAGTGGTTCTCACCCCCGCTCCTCAGAGCTTACGTTACTCACATTTCCTGTTCAAATCTTCCTCTAAATGGGCGTAGCCTGGAGGACTAAAGGGGGCGTGAACGAGACTGGGCCGTTTACATTGCTCTGGGCGGGGGGCTGCAGACGTCAGGTCCAACTTCTGTGCCAGTGTTGGCGCCAGATTCAAAATTCAAGTGTAGTAATACAGGTCGCCAGCAGATGGCGCCTCACAGACGGTTTTAGGCAGAAAGTCTAACTTTCAACTAATTTGCACCAAAGTGACAAGATTATGACCAGGATATGTAGACAACACTATTGGACACTCATTTATACCGTTTATCAGCAAAAAAAAGTGGATTTGAGGGTAAGTTGTCCTTTAAGTTCCAAAAAACACCCGTTTCCAGTTTGGGGTCCAGCACCTGCCTATGTTCATTCATGGAGGTCATTTCTGGGTCTGAAATGGTCTGTTAGTATTGTGTGTCCAACTTGAATTATGCAGTTTTCTCAGACACACACAAACTAATGCATCCTTTAACAGGTGGTTCAACCCATTTGTTAGGAATGAAAATACTGACTAATAAAAGTTTATCACCCAATTCCTTAACATAAAAATGGTGATTTGGCTTCATTCCACAGATATAGAAAGGTTTTTGCAGATAAATGTCACACAGAGACGTTACCTGGTTGGTGGATCATGTAGTGAACCCATCCCTGACTTTGCTGCACGCCCAGGTTCCTCCACTCGGTTTCAGACATGAGATGAGTTTTGGGGACACGTTTGGCGATATCCTTTGGCAACATAACATGTCTAAAGAGAAGCAGACAAGAGTTATAATTCATATTTTCAAGGACTGTGGTGATGATCCAGGACACGCAACATTCTACAACACTTATGGACATTGGTCAACTCCCTATGGACCAATACCATGTGTTCTATTCTTTGTGTTCGAACGGTTTGATTCTCTGATCTGTGTTTGAGATTTCCGCGTTGTTTTTTTTTTTTTTTAAGAATAGTCCTCTGAGATAACTGCTATTGAATCAAAGTGAATTGAATGAGTATTGGCAACAAAATGGTATCGGCAAAAAGCTCTGATACCAGGCGTCAAATACAATTCAATCATATTTAACTGTTTCAAAAAGGCTTGGATTCAGGATTTGAGAGAATATTTCAGTTTGATCAAATGTGTATTACAGACATTACACTTCAAAATGTTGTACTACCAAAGACGCAACATTGAACTTTATCAGTCGAATAGAAATGTCAGAACATTCTTAAATTTTTTTATCAATCGTTTTTCCTCCTCAAAACATCCACAGGTCTATTTATAACGTGCATATACAGGGATTTGGAGAAAAAAAACATGTAAACAATTATGACATCATAAGGAATAAAGTATAACAAAAAAACAAAGTCCAAAATACTCTAATATTAGTAATGATACTGTTGATTGAGTATCTAGTTTCAAAATTATTCAGACAACACCGAATACAAAACAAAGGCAGATTCTAATAGTTTATGGCCCATGCTTTTAAAACTAATGGAGTATTAAAGCTATGGGAGAGGTCGTCCCAACACACTGATGAGAAACGGATCTTATGTAACCAAAACACAGGCTGACCATAGAAAAGATTCAGACTATAATTAATGATTGCATGAATTTACGTTTTAAGATGCTGGGATACGAAATGAGCAAAACAAATGTATAACAAAAAGACACAATCGTCGTCAACACTTGAAACCACTTCTGTTTCAACACAAACAAACATGTGACTGAATGAACCACGCTTTGTCCCACTTCTGACATACGCACCTGTATTCGTATTTCTCGTCGTCATATTTGTCAGAATAGTAGATCTGTTTCTGTGACATAATGCGAACCTAAAATGAGAAAGAAAAAAAGTTATATTTTGAAATCCCATTCATAAATAGCAACAGCCACGCGCCGCAGGCATAACATCACTGCATCCGACATCTCACGTGACAAGAAGCTAACATCATCCAAAACTTAATGTTATTTTACGGCCAGTGACTTACACAAGTGTGAAGTTTGTTCCAGTTTTTGTGTCGCAAAAGAGCGAGGCGTCCTGATTCCTGTTTCCCTCTCGAATGTTCACGAAACCGCTTTTCAGTGTTCAAAAAAGCCTCGTCTCCTCCTATTGGTGGTTTGAGTCACGTGTGTCAACTGCTATTGGCTGACGCATTGTGAATACGTACCATTTCGGCTCCGTTGTCTCCTCGCCAACTTTCCTCGACACTTCATTTGAAAATTTAGCTCACTAACAACAAATATTCAAATGACAATAGTATGTATGTGTGTTTAATAATGTTTGATTAGGAATAATGGCAATGTTATAATATGGATATGATGGAACACAGGGACAGCGAGTTGTTCAAGGACAAAAATAAATTAATAGGAAGCAACCATAGACTTTTCACACATCCATGACGGAATGTTACTTGCTTATCCTTCATGTCCATTCACATTAACAATTTAGGAAAAATATCCACCCCGAGTTTGTTAAATGTCCGAGCTTTAAGGCTTTTAAAGGTTGCGTGTAAAATGCTATGTCATGAAGAGACGAAAAAATATAAAAGGACGTATTTTTTATCAATTTGGACGTACCCCTAAAGTGACATCTGGTTGGTCAGTGTGAAAATGGTGACTACAGTGGAAAATCTTGCTGCAGGATTAGAACAAATAAACATGACACAGATTATCATCATCACATAAACAGAGATTAACACATTTTTTTGTAAATGTAGAATTGTTCTGTAGAAAGAACATACCAGGCATTAGGCAAGTTTATTTGTTCACCCAATATTTAAGCGCTTTAAGAAACAAAAATATAAGATAAGATTAGATAGGAAAGGAAACATATCCTTCTACGGTCTATGGATAAAATACACAAAACACAGAGGGTCAAAGTATATTTAGAGTGTTGATAAAAGTCTTTCAGTTGTATACACATAGGTAGTATAGAATATGATATAAATATAGACATTGGATCATGATGGACAAGTGTGAACAGAGCAGTGACTTTGGAAATAATGTATATATTTAACTTGTTACAAAAACTATGCATATTCATTATTGGTTTTTATCAAGACAAAAGTATCTGAGCCACAACTGATCTCTTGGCTAAGATTTATAGGTGCAAAAATAAAAGTTATAAATGTATCATGGTAATAGTTATTCAGGTGAGGGATAGTGATATATGGTGGAGCGTGTCAGATTGAGAGGCCGACTAAACTGTTTTAGTTAATCGAGACCAAGTAGACTTTGACCAATACAGAGTAGAGTATCTATATGTAATCTGTTTTACATGGTCAGCTACACACCCACGATATACGCACAACACAAGCACATTCTTGGTGGTTTTAATGTTGATTTAGTCTGAAATTCATGTGTAAACAGTGAACTTCAAGCATTCTCCAATTTCTTATGCTATATTTATATTAAAAAACTACACACATTTATCTGCTTGGGTTATATAAACCAATGTATTATTTTGGAGTTGTTTTGCTCTTGTTTGTATGTATAAAGATTTATCCATCCCCTAATCCTGAAATTTAGGTTACATACTTCCATAAAAGACAGCGTTACTTTAAAACCTCATGTAATTCAAAAGCATCACATTATGATTTAAATATGCGTGTAGTGAACGGACATGAATCTCCACCAATGTGACTTGCTTCTACGCTGATCCTTTAGCTATAATCGTCCAAACTAAGGTGTAAAATGGAGAATTTCCAAAGTATGCCTTTAACTAGGATCATTGAAGTCATGTCCAGAAGGTGCCTATTTTTTATCCATAAAAAAATTGTGTATTTTTCCCAACAAAAAGCATCTAACTATAGTCTTATGAACAAATCTGACCTCAACTTTGCCTTTGTCTTGTCAAGATATGTCCTATGTGTGTTTTGTTATAGTGGGTTTTCTGTCTGTACTGTTTCTGTGTTATATGGACTCTCTATGTGTCTGAATTAAAGATTAAATAAATACAAATAAATGCCAAATAATACATGCATGTGAACACTTTTGAGAGCTAGAGACTGAGTTAGATGGATTACAAAGTTCCATGTTCCAAGTTCAGTACAGCGGCTTTGACAAGTCTTGAAGAGGAAATTAATCCGGGACAAACATAGTATCTCAAGTTACAACTATTATGCTTGTATCTGGTTACAAAAATGCCAAATGGAGCATGTAAAAGAGATGGACACAACAGTTAAAGGACTAATTATGGAAGAGGTCTGAACAGCTGATGAAATGACCGACCACAAAGAGGCAAGAAGGGGGTTTGTCCAGGGGTAAGTCCCGGTCAAATATAGTCAGGCAGACGTGTCAGTGTGTGGCTGGCCTTGCTGTGCTCTCCCCATGTGTATATATATATGTGTCTGTGGCAGTAGCAGTCAGAATCACATGTGAAAAAGTGTTATTACTGTGTCCGTCAGCTGCCAGTGTCAATCAAGCCGAGACTTGCCCGTGATTGGTCCAGCGCGCGTCAGGGGGCGGGCTCAACGTGACGCATCCAGGAATTCCCAAAGTTCCCCAAGTTCACGGGAACATTGCAGCGCTGCGGATGGCGATTTCAGCGATATTTGGGAAGAAATAAAACCACTTGCAGCTGAAATGTAAGTGATTTTAATTCTGTGCGTGTTGTGCGTCGCATTTGGGCGTGTTTTAGACTCGCCATCAAGTGGAAAGCTCTGGGAGAACGCGGAAGAGTGGGAATCGTCAGCAGAATAGCAGCCACCATCTCTTTGTTTACCTTCGTGGGTGAAGCTCGGATGTGGTTTCTTCAACACTCACGTCTTATAAATCTCCTCAGCAGTATATTCAAAGCACAGACGTGTCGCATACGTGCAGGGAAGCAGACAGGCAGGAGGATAAAGAAGTAAGTCTAAGCTCCTCCATTGTTTCATTCAGTCAGAGCCCAGGATTAGGTTTGACCATGTTTGGGCATTTACCAGCTGCACGCATTTGTTATGATTGATGCATAGTGTTAGCATTGGAGATGACGTCAAATCGTGCTGTATGCATATTGTCTGAAAGCAGTTTCTTGTGATTTTATCCATGCATCTGGAGTTACATAATGCAGCAGCGAAGTCTTGTGCAGCTGTGTACTTTAGCCTAGAGCCAAATGAAAGCCCTGTTTGTTGTTGCTCTAGATTTTCACTTGGTAGGATCGGGTTCAGTGGTATTTTGTCACGTTAAAGAGTAGTGTTGATAGACCCATTTATAGCTGTTGGCCTAGCTGCGTCAGACATGCAGGCTGCACAAACGCACTCCTGTCTGTTATTGTTTTGCATGCTGGTGTCTGAAGCACGTGTTTAACTCTGCAGAACCACGCCTTTCTCCCTAAACATGCCTTTTTGTCGTCCTCTGCAGAAACTAGAATAAAGCTGATCCCTCCCGTGCGGTCCCGTGTCGAGCCTCCAGGGGGCGATGTCTGACCACAGCAACAGCACTGGCAGCACTGGCTCCTCCACTAACAGCTGGACCCTCCTCTCCCCCGAGGTGAGACCACAGAACCAGCTCAGGGAAGTCTGCCTGGAGCCCCATCTCAGACTGTGGATCAACTTCTGTTCCATGATACAAGACAATTATTGCAGGTTTTAGCACGCAGCCGCGACAGTGCCAAGTCATGACTCAGCCCAATGCAAATACAGGCAAAGCTGATATGAATATTGACTCTTGTGTATTTGTTAAAGATTCAAGATGTTTGTGATGTCTCGTCAAGGGCAAAAAAGAAACGTGGACAATGGGCTCATTTTTAAGAATATGAATAGTGTATTTCAAATGCAGGTCTGAATATTAAATGTTTACACACACTGAGCTGCCGTATATGAAATGTGCTGAATAAATACATTTTATTATTACACTTTAATTACAATTTTAGCCTTAATATAGGAATTCCTGGATGCCCTTTTTCCAAGCTTTTTCTACATATAACTTACATCTTTGTTTACTATAGTTATTATACCTTTGTCATGACTTTAACACATATATTCCAATGTTATTTTGTCTTCCTGTGAATGTGAAGACTATCGTAAAGCAAAATATTTTCTGTGGATCAATATTTTTGTCTAACCCCACTAAGAATTATTTGCATAAGATTATTCACTAAACCAAAACCTTCCTTAATTCTTACAAGTCCTTACAAGTTCTTACTCAATCCTTACAATGATTCTCACAAAGGGCCCTAAAACGAGAACGACCAAAACAAGCTGAAGTTAAGAATAGTTTTATTGCCACATTGTTGTTCCCGGTGCCACAGGAAGCAGCAGTGGAGAGCGTGGGACCAGTGGATGACGGCACGGAGAGTTTAGGAGATGTCCCCAGTCTGTCGGAGGAGCTGGCAGGTCGGTGTGAAGCGGCGGTTACTTCAGAGGTGCTCATTCTTCTTCTTCCCTATTGCCTCATCGTGTGCATTTTATTACAGGAGCCGCCGCAGAGTTCAAACACATTGACATTCCAATCGAGACGGTGCTGTCTGAAGAGGGCCATCAGGTTGGTATTATAGACCGTAATGAAGGATACAACTGGGAATTGCAGTATAGCCAGTATGCAACGTGTACATGTCTCTATTGTGAGATCGATAAAGTTATTCTTATCTTATGGACAAAGGTGCTGATGAAGCCTGGTCTTAGCCATCCACAAACTCTGCAATTTTCTACCTGTACGTCTGGGTCTGATCTTAGTGGCCGCGGTTATCTTGGTTACATCCCCTCTAGTGGCAAAGTAGATGGCTAAAGCTAGGCTAAATGCTAAAGCTAGGCTAAATGCCTCACTCACAATTACATACGTCACGGTAAACTCCAAATCCAGACCTTAGCACGATATGAAATGAGTACGAGGGTGTGGTAAGACCAGGCTAGTGCTGATGCGTGTTCTGTAAATGTATTGGCGCAGAAAAACATTATTAAAGAAGTGATGTGTGAAGCAGTCATGTATTAGCATGTGCTCTTGGTGTAAAACGTCCACATAATCATTGCGTGGCTCGTGCTGACGACAGAAGTCTGGCAAAAGGAGAGCAGTTAATGTTGGATGCCAGTTTTAGTCTGGAAACTACAGATGGGGATTGCACCGGGGCAGACCCGGGACACGCTGGAGGGACGAGGTCTCTCTGCTGGCCTGGGAACGCCTCAGGATTCCCCTGATTGAGATGGAGGAAGTGTGGAGAGGGAAGTCTGAGTATTTCTACTTAGTCTGCTGTCCCCGTGATCCGGCAAAAAGATGAATGTAAGAAAACACTAGTAATGGATTTAAAGGGAATATGTATAATTCTGTCAGTATTTATCTCATAGAAGAAAGATCTGAGGTAAAAATACTTGTTGTTTGTGATATGTGTACATGACTATTCATCAAACCAAATTTCTCCATTGTGAGATCGATGAAGTATATCTTATTATTATTATTCTTCTTCTTCTTCTTCCAGATCTGTCAGGAGACCGACCCAGAACCAAGCGAGGGTCCCATCCCGTTGAGCCCGTCCCGCATCAGCCCCCTCCCCAGTCACTCCTTCGACCCTCCAGAGGAAGACCCCGAGAGCCAGCCCCCGGTGATCCACGACATCGTAGCCACGTCCCCCTCTGACAACGACAACCTCAGCGCTGTGCCGTTTGTCACTCATTTGGATTCGGGGGCGTCCCTGGAGGTCGCGGGCCCCGATCTGCTCCAGGACGACCCGGAGGTGAGCTGTGCCGCGGATAACCCGGGCTCAGCGGGGCCAGCGTCAGACAAACCGGCTGACATCGGGCCAATCAGCGAGACCCAGGAAGAGGATAGTCCGACAAGTCCCGCAGAGGGAGAAGAGACAAAACCCTGCGTCCCGTTGGAGACCGTTACGGCGGCTGAAGGCACTGAACCCTCGCTGACCATCGCACACGACCACAGTCCGGCCGAGCAGAGCGGAGAGGAGCCGGAGAGTCCCGCTGACGTGGAGCCGGAAGACCCTGAAACCCCAGCACCGGTCGAAGAGAGTGGGGACTCAAATGTAGAAAAAGAAGCGACGGAGGAGGAGCCAGAGCCACTAACTCCAGACGAGGAGCACGGACTCGGTATGTGGCTCCGGTTTTACATTTTGTGCTGTAGATACTGCGGCTGGAATGATCTTTTTCTCAGCATTGCTTTCATTTAGTTAAAATTTAAAGAAATGTTAGCTAGCCCTCTAGGGTCAAAGTGGCAGAATTGTAAGATAATTACCTGCTTGAATCCAGGAAACTTTCTTCACAGAATTAATTAGAAACTAACACGTTTCTCTACATTTTTCTTACATCTTTTTCTTTAATTCCTTATTTCTGTTATTGATTATTCTTCTCCCTCACCCATAAAGTTTCAGGACTCCACATTTTGTCAATTTTCTTGATAAATATTATTATTAGACCTTATTGGAGCTTAAATGTAGCTAGATACTTCATACACTTGTAGAGAATTAAGCTGAATAGATAATGGTAAATTTAAATTATGTTGGTTTCCTGTGGTCTGCAACCTTTTGATAACTGTGTTTATTAAATGGATATATGCTAATCTATACAAATATAAAGTACTTTGTAATGTAACATATATTCCCAGTTAAAGTTGATTCTGCCACCTCTGTAAATAATGCTCCCTCATTCACTCAAACACATAATTGATTGCCGTTTCGTCCACTCCCCTCCCACTTCACCGCCTGATAATGTGCTGTGTAATGTGTCTGTTTGCAGCTTTTTTAATCACCACTTACAGATAGGCTGAGGTAATGAGAGCCCCCTTGTGGTAGGAATGCTAATCACGTCTCGTATCCGTGGCATGCTGGAAACGCCAACATGATTTATTGGCGCGACGGAGAAGCGTGCTCCCCACAGAGAAAATGAGAAACAGCCAAGCGTGAAATGGCTGTTGTCATAATTTAGAAAATGTCATGTATTTCAGGAGCGCAGGGGCAGACGGTTTTACAAACTGTTTACACTTATTTTGTCTAGTTGCCGATTTGGTATTTTAACTTTGCCATTTAAGTTGAATGTCATTATGATTTCAGATGTAGAGCCACCCTCCCCTGCCGACTCCGGAGACACAGATGGCTTCGACGATGGGTTGAGGAGGAGACATTTGTCCAGAGCCAGGACCTCTGATGACGAGGAGGATGAGGAGGAAGAGCTAGAGTTCAAAATAGAAGAGAAGAAAGAGGCGAAGCCGTGGCTCTCTGTGAACAAGTGCATCGTGGCCGGGCTGGTCCTGCTCTTCCTGGGATCCCTGTTCCTCTCAGGTCAGTTCTCCTCCAGCATGAGTGTAAAGTTATGTTATTATTGTGTTCTGTCGCCTGCTTCCCTCAAAGGTATCAGTCTTGTGTCGTATTTACCAGTGTCAGGAACCTGACTTTTGATTCAATTATTCAATAACAACACAATTAGAGCAGACTGGTTTACAGATGTTTCCCAATAAAGAATACAGAGTTCTGTTTTGTTTAAATAGATGGATACTTTATTGATCACCTGTAGGAGAAATGCAGGTGTCCAATAGCAGCAGACACACATGCATACATACAAAGAAAAACAAATAAATAGATACAGTAGTAGAGCAGAAGTGGAGTAGCATCTGGGTGGAGCAGCCTCTGGGTGGAGTAGCCTCTGGGTGGAGCAGCCTCTGGGTGGAGTAGCCTCTGGGTGGAGTAGCCTTGGCCTCTGGGTGGAGCAGCCTCTGGGTGGAGCAGCCTCTGGGTGGAGCAGCCTCTGGGTGGAGCAGCCTCTGGGTGGAGCAGCCTCTGGGTGGAGCAGCCTCTGGGTGGAGCAGCCTCTGGGTGGAGTAGCCTCTGGGTCGAGCAGCCTCTGGGTGGAGCAGCCTCTGGGTGGAGTAGCCTCTGGGTCGAGCAGCCTCTGGGTGGAGCAGCCTCTGGGTGGAGCAGCCTCTGGGTGGAGCAGCCTCTGGGTGGAGTAGCCTCTGGGTGGAGTAGCCTCTGGGTGGAGCAGCCTCTGGGTGGAGCAGCCTCTGGGTGGAGCAGCCTCTGGGTGGAGCAGCTACGCAAATCTGTTTCTTGTGAACTTGGTCTTATAGTGTAATTTATCTGGTATTACTCATGAATAAGAATTGACAGTGGCTCAGGTGATAGAGCATTGGCCTTTGAGCCCGAACCACTACGGGCTCAAAGGCCTGTAGTGGTTCGGGCTCACTGCGAGACCTTCTCTATCAACTCCCACTGATGTCTGCTGTCGTTGTGTCCTTGGGCAAGACATTTAACCCCCCAAAGCCCCCACAGAAAGATCCAATCTGTGTCGACACAATCGACGCTGAAACAACATCATCCTGTGACTCACCCACGATGCATTGCTTTAATCCCCTTTCGTACAAACCACACATATTAGACTCGGTCAGGGCACAGAAGCAAGAGTGCCGGAGGGCCGAACGGAAGTGGCGAAAGTCCAATTTCCAGGGCGATTATGAAATCTTTAAAGATGAGTTGGGTGAATTTAACCGGGTTCTACGAAGAACAAGAGAACTGTATTTTTCTGACATTATTGGAGGTTGCAGTAACAATTTTCGTGTTATGTTTTCAACAGTTGGTAGATTAACGAACCCCCCTGTAAAGTTGCCCCTAGAATTTTCCTCTAAATCTAGGTGTAATGAGTTCGCACAGTTTTTCGATGACAAAGTACAAGGAATCAAAAACACTATCACCTCCACAGCACGTATAACAATGCAACAGCCAGAGAAGCTTTCTGAGCTAACTCACTTTGCACCTGTGGATACTGAAACTGTCAAAAAGATAATCATGAGTCTGAGCTCCTCCACATGTAGCCTGGATATATTGCCCTCTAAATTTCTGAAGTCCGTCCTGAGCAGTTTGTTACCTTCACTGACACAAATAGTAAACATGTCTCTGTCGTCAGGAACATTTCCTATGGCCCTAAAAACAGCAGTCATAAGACCTCTCCTAAAAAAGAGCAGTCTGGATCCTGCGGGACTTCAAAATTATCGCCCCATATCGAATCTGCCATTCATTGGAAAAATTCTTGAAAAAGTGGCCTCCCAACAACTTACTGAATTTTTAACAATGAATAATTCTTTTGATATGTTCCAGTCTGGGTTTAGACCCCACCACAGCACTGAGACCGCTCTAGTGAAGGTAACAAACGACATTCGACTTCACACTGATGCAGGTAAAGTCACAGTTTTGGTCATGTTAGATCTTAGTGCCGCGTTCGACACTGTCGACCATGAGATCCTCATGCAGAGACTGGAGGACTGGGTTGGTGTCACTGGCACAGCCCTAGACTGGTTTAGGTCTTACCTGGAGGATAGGAAGTACTTTGTGGAGATTGGAGACTGCGTCTCAGATCATGTGGCCCTGACCTGTGGAGTACCACAGGGGTCGATCCTGGGACCTCTCCTATTTAATCTCTACATGCTGCCGTTAGGTCAGTTAATACAAAGAAACAAAGTGTCCTACCACAATTACGCCGACGACACTCAGATCTATGTCTCACTGACTGCAGGAGAACATGGACCACTGGATTTGCTCCTTCACTGTATCCAACAGATCAGTGAGTGGATGCAAAATAATTTCCTCCAGCTAAATGCAGACAAAACCGAAATCATTGTCTTTGGTCCCCAGAAACAAAGAGAGGGCGTCATCTGTCAACTTCAGTCTCTCTCCCTACTTCCTTCAGACAAGGTCAGAAATTTGGGGGTAATACTGGACTCAGACCTAAATTTCAATAGCCACATAAAATCAATAACATCAACAGCTTTTTACCATCTGAAGAACATTGCCAAAGTCAGAAATATAGTGTCCAGGGCAGACTTGGAGATTCTTGTCCACGCATTTGTCTCCAGCAGGCTAGACTACTGCAATGGCCTGCTTACAGGTCTGTCCAAACAGACCTGTAAGCAGCTGCAGTACATCCAAAATGCAGCAGCTAGAGTCCTGACAGGAACCAGGAAGTATGACCATATTAGTCCGGTCCTCAGGTCTCTGCACTGGCTTCCTGTGGCTCAAAGAATAGATTTTAAAACAGCTCTGCTTGTGTACAAGTCTCTCCATGGCCTTGCACCAGAATACATTAGTGACATGTTGGTGTCATATGAACCAGCCCGGACTCTGAGGAGCACAGGGACTGGCCTCCTGCTGGTGCCCAGAGTGAGAACCAAACATGGGGAGGCTGCGTTTCAGATCTATGCAGCTAAGATCTGGAACAATCTCCCTGAAAATGTGAGGGAGGCGTCTACTCTGTCAATGTTCAAATCCAGGTTAAAGACTGTTCTGTTTGCCTGTGCATACAACTGAAGGATTTTATCTCCATTTGTAATGCACTGCTGTCATTTATTTATTTATTTTTTTAAATTTCTTGTGTAACTTTGAAAGTGTTTATGGTTTTATTCTTTTGTGTGATTTTATTGTTTTTATTGTGTTTTAATCTTTTGTGTGATTTTAATGTTTTAATTGTGATTCTGGTGTTTGTTTTATGTGATGATTTGTGATGTGGACTGTGAAGCGCTTTGTGTTGCCCTGTGCATGAAAGGCGCTCTACAAATAAACTTTGATTGATTGATTGATATTAACTTTGTAATGAAATCTATATAACTAGTGCATCACTTCTCATCATATCATATCAACCACAGCCCAAAGCTTCATTTAGTGACTCACAGGGCTTCTCCTTGCAACAGATATGTTTTCTGATAAGATGGAGACGGCGTTTATTCTTTTACAAGACACTGTTATTTTAAAAAGTTGGGTTGTCCCGCTTTAAGTTGCACATTCCTAATTAAGCCTCTTTCATTCATCCCTGTAGATTTCCCCATGAAAAGATGAAAAGAACAAGAAGTGCCCCTTTGTCTGCCCCCCCCCCCCCCCCCCCCCCACACACACACACACACACACACACACACACACAGTTGGAATCAATGTCTTTACACAGTGGTGGTGGTATCAGCGTGTTGAAGTATCGCCCGTGGCCTTGATAACGGCAGGTCTCGTCCGTGTCTCAGATAAGGCGGCCGTGTGAGCCGCTCAAGCCAACGCTCAGAAGCTTATCTGACCCCGGGCTCCACACGGAGAGAAGCCCGGCCAGTGTACGAGAGTGAAATAAAAACACAGATAGACGTCAGTGCTAAAGTTGGATAGAATTGGTGTTGTTACTGTCTCTGGGGGACCGCGCTGTCTCCACTGAGATATCATTGAGAAGAGAAGCAAGTGTTGGAGGGAATAGAGCTGTAATGTATTCTCGTATCGCCCTAAATCACGACAGAAGTCATCTCTTAGGACTTAACAAACCGTTGAAATCGCTGACGCAGATCAGAGAATCAAACAGTTCAAACACAAAGAACATAAAATACATGGTATTGGTCCAAGGGGAGAGACCAGTGTCCATAAGTGTTGATAAATGCTGTAGAATGGATCCTGGACTCTAAAACTCAGTGAGAAAATGGTGAGAAACCTCAGAGAAAACCACAGTGAGAGAGAGATCTGCTCCCACAGACAGACGGGCTACAGACCGAGGACTCAGACTGTAGAACGAGGACCGGTTAAATGACGGAAAGCTTGACAATGCAAATACGTGATCTTCTCCCACCTGAAGCGTTTTCACAGTAACTCTGAGAGAAACACGGGAAGTTCACATTCTTCTTCTTCTGTATTTTAATTCCCCTCTTTATGCAGGTGAATGGCAATGTTTGATTTGCACTAAACATGTTTCAAAAAGTGTATAAGAAAGCAGAGTGTTGGTGGGTTTTAATTCAAGATTATTTTTGGCATTTGCAGTAAAACCACTTTGGAAAAACTGTGCGAGACTACCAGAGAGCACACACCATAGACTGTAAATATCTCCGCCGTTCAAACAAATTGGCCAAAAAAGCAATTGTTTTTGGATTGGGATTTGTCATTGTTTTTGTCGTCTGAGCGCTTTATCTGCAGTACTGCCTTGAGTTGGAGAGTTTGGCTTATAGTCTAAATATGTGTGCGCGTTTTGTCCACTAGGGGGTCCCCTTTTTCTCCTAACTTGTCTTAATGGTGTTTTTGGACTTGTACTCAGGTGTGTGTATACATCTATCTGTTTTTTCCTGTAAATCATTTCTTAACAATATCAAGTTTTATTCCTTCACCTTTTCTACAATCTAGAATTTACTTTTTCACTAGAATGATATCGTAGAGAGTGATACCGTCGGTCATGTGACTGTCATGTGATCGCTCTCATTATTCCCACCTGGGATCTACTTGACATTACTTGCTTTGATGATAAGGATCGTTAAGTTAGTTCATGGAAAAGGCCTCGGACCTTTTCCTTTTTGCTAAATTCAACTGTTTTTGTGGATAACGCTACACAAACAATCCTTGATGTATTGAAACTTTTCTAATCCCAAGTCGTACGAACACAAGTGCGTTTTCCCCTCACGCTCAGTCCTGACTCGGCGATTACACAACAGCCGCTTCAGTTTGTGTGAAAAGATGTTTCCTTGTGTGACAGGTGACATCGACGGCGGCGACGTGACGGAGGCCGAACAAAGCCAGGTCTGTCTCTTTTCTCCTCATGACTCAATAACTCTGTATGGAAAACATGTCGAAGAAAGCACATGGGTTTGGCAAGTTTTTATCTAATTGGTTTGGCTTTTTTGTCTTCATCCAGGAATGGGTCAGTGGAGATCCAAAGGAAATGAAGGAGTTATTGGACAAACTCACACAAGAAAACCAGCAGATATCTCAGCTCGAGGCTCAGCTAAAGGTCGCTTTTCATTGACGATAATTATGTTTGCTCTTTACAGCTGTGATAATACATTGTTCCTTATGGACTTTGCTGTATTTGAGGCATCATTTAGGTCAATTCGCTGTGTTGTGTGTGTGTGTGTGTGTGTGTGTGTGCGTTAGGATCAGAAAGCGGAGCTGGACGTGGCGCTGAAGGCGGTGGCGGTGAGCGGGGACGAGCTGAAGAAGGCCGATCTGGAGACGGAAAATGCAAAGTTAAAAGCCGAGCTGCAGCTGCTGCCCGACCTGCGGAAAGAACTGGACACTCTGAGGTCGCGAGTGACGGAGCTCGGTCTGCTCTCGGGTACGACGCTCAACTGTTTATGATTTTCATTTGTGCAGCTCCTCCGCTATACATGGAAAAAACCTGCTTAAGCTTCAGGTTTTCATAAGTCATTATCACTTATTTTAACATATTTAATATCAATCAAAACGTATAGTTGCTTTTGTGAATCTACATTAAAGGAGCAGTGTGTAAACATGTGGTCAAAAGTGGTACTGCAGCCTCTCCCACTCTCCCTGACTCAGGTTGCCAGATATGCAGACGAATCCAGCTGGGACCATAACAGCTGAATAGACAAGAGTTTAGTCAACAACAAATCTATAACCAACACCTTTTTCACAAAGATAGAAATCCTGGTTTTATTCCTTGTTTTGTCGTTAATGATTTGAGAATCATAACGAGACCTTTTTAAGTTCTGCGTCACATGGTACTTTACCAGTGAGATTAGCTCCACGCGGTGAGTTCTGGCGCCCGGATACATACATGTCGCTGCATTAAAGAACACACATTTATCTACATTTTAATTTTTGAGCTAATAACAAAGTTTCAATACTGTTCCCAGACAAATTGTTTGATTCTCTGATCTATTCAACAATTAGACTTTACAACGATTGTGTAAAGTCCTTCGAGATCCGAGAACTACTGTTGTGATTTAGGGCGATACGAGAATTGATTGAATTGAATTGTCAAAAATTCACCTGGAGATGTGTTTAGCTCCAACCACAAATATATCCGGACCTTCTGATTCAAATCAACTCAAACATTTCCCCTTTTGCGGAAATGACTCTCTGTTTTTGTGACTGTGAGAAAACCATGTTCTGCCTTTTTCCAAATACTAATAGTATTTTCCGATTTCTCGTGTTGGGAATTTCCAGAGTCAAATAACGTTCTTAATGACCGTGTGCTTTCAATTAGGCCCCGTCATGTTCGACGTTTGCAAACATGATCTGCAGTTTCCTGTATGAAATGTGCTATATAAATAAAAATGTTTTCGAAAAGATCTTGATGTAATTCACCACTTATACCACTAGATGGGGGTGTTCCATTACTATAGGGCCAGTAATTATCCATCAAACATGTTTTATCCACACATTTTCTACTCTTAATATTTAACATGTTTAAACTTGAAAGTCAATGTTAGTCAGTATTCTATAGTTAAAGTACTAAAATGAAAGTCAAATATTCTTTAAACTTTGTGACTGTTGACTTGGACATTCAGAGACATTTCCTTTTGTAAATATTTTAGAATATGTATAAATATTCATATATGATTGATCATTGATTGAGATAAATGGTGCTGTCTATTCAAAATACAAGTCAATATATGTAGGAATAGGAGGATCTTTGTTTACACCCGTGTGCGCAAGAAGACAGGCACGGCGGCACGGTGGCTGAGTGGGTAGCACTCTCGCCTCTCAGCAAGAAGGTCCTGGGTTCGAATCCCGATCGGACCAGGGCCTTTCTGAGTGGAGTTTGCATGTTCTCCCTGTGTCTGCGTAGGTTTCCTCCGGGTGCTCCGGTTTCCCCTACCACTAAAAATATGTCCAATAGTTCTAGCATGCGCCTCCTGTACTGGCCCCGCTCCCATCTCTGTGTGGAGTGAGAGACAAATGCCCAAAATTAACAATTGTAAACCGCTTTGAGACTCAGATCTGCAGTGAAAAGGCGGTATATAAATAAAGATTACTTACTACTTACTACTGAACATGGAGTACTTTTAAAAGACTCAGTGGGCGAATAGCACTGTATATAAGCACTTTAACGCAAGAAGATCAGAGGAGATATATAGACAAGCTAAAAATAAGTACGTGAGACTGAACAAATCCAAAGCCCAGATGAGACCTGGGATGACGAGAGAAAACATTGGTCAGACTCACCTCTGTTTTGGCACCGATCTGCTGGGACTGAGACATTTATTCTTACTTCATAGAAACGGACCATTTGATTTAGTAAAACTTCTCTACAAACGTCTAAATCTAGCTAACTCTAGCGTCCAGATAGCTTTCAATGCTGTAGTGCCACACGCTCACGTGACCGGAGCGGAAAAACTATAAACAACGATGTCACTCCAAGATCCTCCTACTAACTTGTTTATCTCATGCCCACAGGTCCTCAGGCCATGGCTCCTTCTGCTCCTTCTGCTCAGTCTGCTCCTTCTGCTCCTGCCTCTGAGCCCGGCGTGAGCGATGGTCCCACAAACATGAAGCCTGAGAGGAAGAGCGCCTCACATGAAGCTCACGTCAAGGAGGAACTAAAAAGACAAAAGAAACTCCTGGAGGAAAGCAGGAAGCGACTGGAGACAATGAAGAATCAAGATGAAGGCGACCGCAAAGACGTTCGCGACCGTTTGGCGGAGATTCAAAAGAAGCTCTCGGAAAAGGTGGACAGATGGGGCAGAAAGAAGCCAGAGTCCAAGTGGAAAGTCGAAAAAGACAAAGAGCAATGGAAGGACGAGAAGAGAGGAGCGGATAAAAAACCAAAACACAAAAAGGATGAAAGTTGGAAGGAGAAGGAGGTGAAATCCAAATACAACTCTCACAAAGAGGCTTGGAGGAAGAACCAGGACGAGTGGGAGCGGAAGAAGAGCGAGCGGCGGACGGACCGAGAGGAGAGGCGGAAGGAGAAACCCTGGCACGAGAAAGTCTCCAAGAAAAGCCACGCCGGCTCCCACCACGGCCACAAGCAGCAGCAGCAGCAGCCACCGCTGCAGCCGCACCAGCAGGACTTCTGGAAGCACCAAGAGCAGAAGCTGAACCGCAACATCCGCCCCCAGGTCGGCTGCGGCAGCGTGGAGGCCTGCGCCGCCAAAGAGGGGCTGTATCCGGTGGAGTTCCCTGAGTTCGAGGAGCTGCTAGAGGGCTACCTGAGCAAGCTGGACGACTCCCCCTCCTCCTCCACCTCCAGCGGCAAAGACACCATTCGGAAGCTGACGGCGCAGTTTTTCGAGAACGGCGTCTTCATCCACGACCGGATGCGCTTCGCCGACTTCGCAGAGGACGTGGCGGACATTTTGGAGGACGCCGTGGACGTTCTGGATGGGGGCAAGGACAACGATCCGCTGGAGGAGGAGATGGAGGAGTTCGAGAGAGAAGCGCTCTGGAAGTTCGCAGCAAACGCCTAAAAAAATATATATATTAAAAACTGGACGAAAGAAACGTAAAAGTAGTTATTTTGAATCAACCGCGAGGGCAGAATCTAATGACACTTTATCGCCGGCTTTTCAGAGTTGTGATTATTTGAAAAAAAATGTGGTTTTGGACGTAGTCGTTTCCTACCTCCGTCAGGTCGCTCCGTGTAGAGAATGTTCTGCTTCAGGCTCCTGTGTTTTCTCAATAACAAGTGCATGTTACAGATGATAGAAGACCACATGCTCCAGGATTTGTTTTAATAAGAAAAAAAAGGCTATTTCTTCTTTTTATTGTAAGAACAGAGTATTTTATTGGGCTGAGAGCGTCTGCCGCTGTTTTTCAGATTTGCATGGACTGAGTGTGCAGCAGGTCTGAACAAACAGCAGCAGCAGCCGACACCATTTCAGGTTGAACGAGTTTTGTGCGAGCTCTCTCTCTCTCTCTGCAGAAGGAGGTGAAAAGCCCTGAGCGTTTGATTTTCCCATCTGGGTGTCTGTACCTGTCCCAATGCAGCGCTGTAACCGGTTTGATTTTCTGAAAACGCTACAGGACACAGCAGCGGTTTCAACTCGCTCACTTCTACTCATATGTTTTAGTTGATGCTTCTGTCGCCATGGGAACAGCAGCACATGTACATACACCAGAGAGAAGGCATTTTATTCTCCTTTGAGTTTTAGGGTGTTTTTTTGTGTGTTGTGCACGTTCTTACTTTTAGCTTTGACCTTTAACAGAAGTTTATGAAGGAAATCTGATGTTCTGAGTTTCATTTGTGTTTTCATGTTTCCTAATGTTGCCATGGTTTTGTTTAGAGCATTTAGACGTTATTAGTTTGTGGATGAAGCCTAACGTTTTTCATGTAGTTAAAAGTTTGTGTTAATTTATTCGTTTGTTGAATTCATGAGATGTTTTCAGAAAGAACCACGACTTTGGTCGACTCCACACTTTGAATGTGAACGAGACTCGTGCTGATGTGCCTTTTAAAATATGGCTCTATAATATTTTGGGAAATGTTGAAGCGGTGAATGTCAGTTTCACTCTCGGTGTTAAACTGTTGTCTGCTGTGTGTAACCAGAGCTCTTCATTCACATTAGTTTAGACCATAGGGATTGGGAGAAAATGCCAAATTCAAAATATTTTAGTAGTGTTAATTTTGTTTGGACAATAACGAGGCTAAAACTTGAAGCTTGTATCATTTCTGCACCGTGTCAAGTGCATGACCCTGAACTCTATCTTTTCTTTGATTTGTGTTGTCTTCTTTCAGTCAGTGTTCTCTCCAGCAAAGTTTTTCACCAATAAATGTGTAATGTATACTGCATTTGAGGCCATTTTCTTAAGGCACAGGAACGGGCCGTGACTTCTCTCCAGCGACACTCGGACTGTGTTTTGTGGAAGGAAGTGGCTGAGTTTGGAACGACATGTTTCTGATGCAGAGGTGAAATATTAACTCGTGAAGCATTTTCAGATTCCTTGGTCTTGACTCCTGCGTGAAGCCGAATCGCTCTGACGCAACAACACACAAGTGACCAAGAATGTATCAGCAGGAGCCATTCTTTACATTCTGACTTCACCGTGAGTCATGTGTCGTAGAAACACTTCACCTGATGCCAAAAGAGTTCATCACATTTAGTTTAGTTTCATTTATTTAAAGGTGCTCTGTGTCATTTTTACACTTGTTTAAATTTTAAAAACCAAAAACAAATGTGACCTTTTTTAGGAATACTTACCCCATCTTTTTTCATTCTTGTCATAGACTTAGAATTTGACTCATAAATGTCCATGAAGCTGAGGACTCTCTGTGTAAATCCGCCATCGGTTCCGTATTTCCCGGACTATAACCTGCACCTGACTATAAGCCGCACCTATCCCACACTGATTTTACAATGTTTTACTGTCAGTGATGAGAGAAAGAGTAAGAAGTGAGTCACAGACTGTTCTGAATGTGAAGAAGAAAAATCCACCGGTCTCTTTTCACTTTCACGTCTGCGAAGAGAACCACAAAACTATCCATCCGTCTTCTTCCCCTTAATCCATTTCTGGGGTGGGGGATGGCAGTCAGGGCTGCACCCAGTACACATAGCACCAGTCCCTCACTGATCCTCCTGCAGGAGCTGAGATCTTTCAGCGGGGGCTTCAGGCAAAGTGGGGTTAAGTGTCTTGCCCAAGGACACAACGACAGCAGTCATCAGTGGCAGTTGTGAAGTAGGTCTTGTGGTGGGCTCGAACTCACAACCTTCAGGCTCAAAGTCCAATGCTCTACCAACTGAGCCACTGTACCCACGACTAAACCATTATGAGATATTTACACCCATTATATATACAGATATTTTAAGTGAGGACTTTCCAAATTTAGTGAATGCTTAGTCACAAATATGTTCCATCCATCCATCCATCTTCTTCCCCTTAATCCATTTCTGGGTCGGGGGGGTGGCAGTCAGAGCTGCACCCAAGTCTCATAGCACCAGCCCCTCACTGATCCTCTGCAGGTGGTGAGTCCACAGGAGGACGGCTGCTCTGTCAGTGACAATACGGCCTTGATTTTTCAGCGGGGGCTTCAGGCAATGCAGGGTTAAGTGTCTTGCCCAAGGACACAACGACAGCAGTCATCAGTGGGAGTCGGTGGAGAAGGTCCCGTGGTGGGCTTGAACCTACAACCTTCAGGCTCAAAGGCCAGTGCTCTACCAACTGAGCTAGTGTCGCCCCTACACAAATATGTTATAAATGCTTTTCCGCTAACGGTGCCTGTAACCTTTAAATATATGTATTTCTTCTTGTATTTTCCATGAGTGTAAATGACTGACAAACCTCTGTGAATAACTCTGCAAAACGTTATTGGCAATACATCAAAAAAAAAAAAATTAAGGTGCACATTAAAAAGCTGCAGTCTTTCTAAGGCTGTAAAAAGATTGTAGTCCAGAACTTACGGTATTATTTTTGCCAATGTTGTAAACAAATGAAAGCTGAAGTTGCACCTTTTTCAGACCACAGCATCCGCCCTTTATCTATTCACAAAACCGTTGATGTTTTGCATACTGGGCTCTGACGGCTGCTTCTTTCTCAAACGCTTTTTGTTGCTAGGTTTCATTGCGTTTGTTTCTTGTACCTGTTTAGCTAGTTTTATTCATGTACTTTTCTTGTGCACTGGGGTTTTTTTGCCCATATTTATTCCAATGTGGTTTTGCTGCAAATGGCAAAAAAAAAACTGGATCTGAATCTTTTTAACTGATCCAAAGATTGGACCGAGGCCAAAAAGATTCAAGATTCAAGAATGTATTTGCCATTTGCAGTAAAACCACATTGGAAAAACTGTGCGAGACCACCCTAGTGTTCGGCCAATATACAGTTTGTGAAAATTAGTGATAAAAACAAATTTCTTTTTAATATTTTCTCCATTCCCGCTTTAGTATCTGTTGCATCCATGTTTTGTTATAAGATAAGATGAGACAAGATGGACTTCATTGATCTCACACTGGAGAAATGTACATTTATCTGAATATATCGTCATTCCCAGGGGCTGAAAAAGCTTTAATCTCTTTGTTTATATTTTGTAAAGTTGAAAAACCTTTTACATATTCATTCAGTCCATGTAAGAAGATGTGTTGAACTCTGATCCAACCTTTACAACTGTTAGTATCATTTCTGCAAGAGATACAACTGTTGGTCATACAGTAAGAATACAGGCCTCTGCTTAGAATTATACAACAAATAGTATTTTAAATTACTGTCTGGGTGCTTGCGCAAGTCTTGAAAGTCTTAATAAGTATGGAATTTTGAGGCACTGTTTTCCAGACCTTGAAAAGTCTTGAATTGTGTGTGAAAGTCTGGAGAAAATATGAAGAAAAATGTATGGTTGAATTTGACAGTATGTGCTCAAAGGCAGTGTGAAAAATGCATTTGTTGATTGAATACTAGCCTAGAAGAATTAACATTTATTATAAACACAGTCTCAACCAATGAAGTAGTCAAGTACATAAAGTTAAAGTCTTGGGCAAATATATATCAGTTATTAAAAAGTCTGGAATTTTAGTTTGGAAAAAGAGCATCACCCTGACTGTCCGTAAAACATGGCGTGGACAGATCTGTTGGTTCCACTGCGTTCAGGAGATAAACCTCGAATGCAGGTCGACTCATTACTTTGTACTGGTTTGAATTGTGTTTAGACGATAGATATTTATCTTTATTAGTCATTTGACACGTCCAAATGAAGGAGAAATGCATGTTTTTTCCGCTGATGCTGCTTTTTCTGTGCATATAAGCCACCTGTGACCGTGAGGCTGCAGGGACCGTCGTCACATTCACGCAGGACTCAAAGGTAACGGTAACTTTTCTGCTGCTGATGTAAGTTCTGAGTGTGTTTTTAACTCTGCTCCACTTTCAGATCACAGTATTTCAGCCGCAGTCGACCATGGAAGCTGCTATTTCTGTCCTGGTGGCTCAGTTCAAGGCTTACGCCGGGAAAGATGGATCTGCCCAAAGTCTGAGCAAAGAGGAGTTTCAAAAACTCGTCAGCGATCAACTCCCGAACTTGGTCCAGGTACAAACAGTCTCACCGTTTATGTTATTATCTATGTATTCATTTTGTTATTCACTTTAGCTCAGATGCAGTATACTCAGTGGTAGACAAAGTGTTCTGCTTTGATTTTGATAGACTTAGGAGCAAAACGCAACACAATGTGATTCATGTGTGTTTTAAACTTTTAAATGAGGGCAGGAATTTGGTTAAAGAATTACTGTTTTTTGTTTAACAGAGCGATGACAGTTTTACACACACACACACACACACATACATACATATACACACATACACACATACATATACACACATACACACATACTGTACACACACACACACACACACATAGACAAAGTGAGATGAATCAGGCCTTCAATATTTATAATGGTAATGATTATGGATTATTTACATGAAACTTCTCTGTGAAAATTAGAATATTTTGAAACTGGACTGTAAGCTCTGTCTTTATGAGTTTACCATGGACTGGTTTATACATAAATAAAGAATAATAAACTATGGAACAATACTCTCATTTTATGAAAAATATTTTCTATAATAATCTAATACAGTATATACAGTACCAGGCTGTAGACGGAACGTGGCATAAAATATCTTTAATGGTGAATTATAAAATACTTACAATACAATCTGTTTTTCTATGAAATGACATAAAGGTGAAGGATATTATTAAGTAAAAAAACTCTGAAAAAGTTCACGGTGCTGGAACAGAAGAGATCGCAGACATACCTTGAAAATATGTGTAAATAAGTAAAATACTGCTTAAAATAATAATAATGATCTGGAAAAATACAAGAAAATGTGGCGAGACAAGATTTCTGAAAATAATGAAATAAAACTAGCCCCAAACGACTTGATTCTAGTTTAAAAACATACATTTCAAGGGTTATTTACTTATTTGTTAATGACAAATGTTTTCTTAAAATACAGCATCACAAATTATACTTATTCTATCTAAACAAGAAAGGTTTTCTGGAAATATGAAAAAAAATACTTAAAACAAGCTCAAAAATTCACTGCTCAGACTTTTTTCTCTTATAAGATTATGAAGTACATCTTAAAACTTGTAAAATAATCTTATGACAAACTACATTTGAACAACAAAACCTTAAAAATACAAGCATCAATAAGCATCTTGTATTAAAGAATCTTTAACTAATCTTTCAGTCTCCATATTGTAAAGAAAAATATATGAAAACACCAAATGATCCTTCAGCAAAGTCTGATTTATCTTAAAATTAGTAAATAATCTTAGGTGACAAACTAAAGTTAAGCCAAAAAAACTTGCCATTAAAAAAATAACCATCATTTATGTTATTTTTAGCACTAAATTCAAGATTTTACTTTTTGTCAGTCTTCCCCAAACTCTTTCCCTTGGTCCCAGTTACAGGTGTGTCCAGCAGGTGGCAGTGCAGTCTATACAGCCGCTGAAGTCTACACAGCCGCTGCTCTCTGCACCTCATCCCGGCCATAACTTTCTCCTTTCTCTCCACACCCACAGCTCGGCTCGGATCCTCAGGCAGTGGACCAGCTCATGAACTCCCTGGATGAAAACAACGACGGGGAACTGACTTTCTCTGAGTTTTGGCAGCTCATCGGAAAGCTGGCCGGCAAACAAGGAGCGTTCCATTAGTTCTCCATGTTTCATTTGATGGATATTTGGAATAAAGCCATTATTGTCTCTCTCGCCTGTCATTCAGCACAGTCAAGCCGCCCACACACACAACACCAGGGACTTATCACATCACTGATTCAAGGCACAAGTGTCAAAGTCAAGGCCCGGGAGCCAGATCCGGCCCGCGAGACCATTCCCAGTGGCCCTTGAGAGGATTTTAAATGATTATATTAAACAGCAGCATTAATGGTCATAGGCGACAATGGTATGTTACTAATCCATTACTGAGAAAACAACCATAACATTTAAGTCCATAAGAAATGTCAAACCAACATGTAGAAGTTAGTAGTGTTAGGTTTATTTACAAGTTACAATGACATTTCTTCTTATATATTTATACATTATTCTTCTCAAGATATGAAGGAGGATTTCCCAATTTTCTTAGGAAAGAACCGCCCTCTCCACTTCTTGAACAAACCTCTCTGGTCTTATTGGACAAGCACGAATCACCAGAATGATTGACAGTTGGGAGGACCAATAGTCTCGATGATCCACCCGGAAGTAGAAAATCCTCCTATATACAGTACCTTCAATATTTGGTCCAGTTTTGGTTCAGTCCACAATAACTGAGCTCATTCTAATCATGAAAGAATGTCCAATCCAACTAATGTGAAGTCATTTATTTAGATACCCTCAACTAAAATAAGTTTGCCACCCCTGATTCAGGGGCTTGTAAGCTAATCCCGGCCTCTGCCCCGTCCGCAGCAGATCTGGTTCCATCCACGGAGCGACATAATGCCTGCACAAAGACGTCCAACCATGTGTGAAGCAGTGCTGGTGCTATTACACGCCAACCATGCAAAGACCACATTATTACTGTCATTCACTTACTTCACAAAGGCTTTGACGTTCACTCACTCTGGTGTCTAGACGGTCAATGCCCCGGACCTGCTATTGTGAGGTTTCTGAGCGGTTTCTGAGTGACATTAAAACGGACCTTTGTATCATGGTGGTGCTGGTGGTGCTGGTGGTGCTGGTGTTGGGGGTGGGGTAGGCGTGTTGTGGGTATGAGTCAGCGGCCTGTTATAACCCGGGCACAACAAAGGAGAACTGGGTTATGAATGTGTCGTAAAAATCTGATAAAGATCCACAACTGTGTTTTACTAACGCTGTAGTGATGTGTAGGTAATACGTTTAGAGTTATGAGCCCAGGAGGGACAGGGTTCACACCAAGTTAAGAAAATATGTGTGTGTAGCCTTGGGCATGGTGGCTGAGTGGTTAGCCCTCTCTCTCTCTATCTATGTATGTATGTATCTACCACTCTCCATCTCTCTATGTATGTGCTGTATGTATCTACCCGTCTATCTGTCTATGTATGTATGCATGTATCTAAGTATCTCTCTGAGTATGTATGTATGTATCTAAGTATCTCTAAGTATGTATCTAAGTATCTCTCTGAGTATGTATGTATGTATCTAAGTATCTCTAAGTGTGTATCTAAGTATCTCTCTGAATATGTACAGTAGGTATCTAAGAATGTTAGTATGTATGTATCTAAGTATCTCTCTAAGTATGTATGTATGTATCTAAGTATCTCTCTAAGTATGTCTGCATGTATCTAAGTATCTCTCTGAGTATCTATGTATGTATGTATGTACAGTACCTTGTGAAAGTATTCGGTCCCCTTGAACCTTTCAACATTTCGCCACATTTCAGGCTTCAAACATAAAGATATAAAATGTTAATTTTTTTGTCTTGTGTCCCACTTGTTGTTGATTCATGACAAAAAATTAAAATTTTCATTTTCATTTTTTCATTTATTTCGGTTTGGTCATTTACAGATCATTCAAACAAAACATTTGAAACTTAGAACACAATAAATGACCAGGTGCAGGCAGAAGCTAGAGCTTATTGTGCCTGCCCTTAACTTCAAAATCATAAATGCAGCACATTAATGACAACATCTATTCATAAAATTAACACATTAATGGACCATTGTCCACACCAGAAGAATTCATTTTCATTCCATTAAATATTTTTCCATTGTTTTCTCTTGTATATATTTTTAAACTGAAAAAGAGACGTGGCTTGTTTTAACTCATTGCAGCAACTATTCCATAATTTAACTCCTTTATTTGATAAACAATGTTCTCTTAATGTAGAATGTACTTGTGGTTGGTTAAATATACACAGTCCTCTGAGATTATAATTACTTTCTCGTTGAGTAAACAATATTTGCAAGCATTTAGGAATTTTATTATGTTTAACTTGGTAAATGAACTTTGCCGTGTACAAATCGACTAAGTCATAAAACTTCAAGATTTTTGATTGAAGAAACAGTGAATTACTTGGTGAATTATATGGTGCATAATTAATTAATCTGATAACCTTCTTTTGTAATAGAAAAATTGGATTGGTTCTAGTTTTATATGTATTACCCCATATTTCGATACCATATGTTAGGTATGGTGTGACAAGTGAACTATAAAGTAAATGTAATGCATTTTTATTCAAAATATATTGCAACTTATACAAAATTGCAATCGTTTTTGATACTTTCTTTTGCACGTTTAAAATATGCGGTTTCCAAGTCATTTTACAATCAATAATTACTCCAAGAAATTTTATATGATTTACTCTTTCTATTTCATTTTCGTCAATAGTGATCTTGATCTCATTATTAATCTCTTTATTACTAAATACCATAAATTTTGTTTTATCTAAATAGTAAGTAAGTTAGTAAGTAAGTTTTTATTTATATACCGCCTTTTCACTGCAGATCTGAGTCTCAAAGCGGTTTACAATTGTTAATTTTTGGGCATTTGTCTCTCACTCCACACAGAGATGGGAGCGGGGTCGCCAGTACAGGAGGCGCATGCCAGAACTATTGGACATATTTTTAGTGGTAGGGGAAACCGGAGCACCCGGAGGAAACCTACGCAGACACGGGGAGAACATGCAAACTCCACTCAGAAAGGCCCTGGTCCGACCGGGATTCGAACCCAGGACCTTCTTGCTGAGAGGCGAGAGTGCTATCCACTCAGCCACCGTGCCAATTTATTAGTGACAATTTATTAGTGACAATTTATTCAAATCAAACCAATTCTTTAGTTTATATAATTCTCTCTCTACCACCAACACAAGCTCTATTTGATTTGGGCCAGAACAATAAATTGTTGTATCATCCGCGAAGAGAATGAAATTAAGAACGTCCGATACTTTACAAATATCGTTTATATATAACAAAAATAACTTGGGGCCCAAAACGGAGCCTTGCGGAACCCCACAATTAATTCTCTGTAAGCAGGACGCAACTCCATTTAAATTAACATATTGAAAGCGATCTGTTAAATAATTTTCTAACCAAGAATGTACATTTCCCCTAAATCCATATTTTCCCAGTTTATATAATAATATTTTGTGATCGATTGTATCAAAAGCTTTCTGTAAATCTAAAAAAACTCCGATTGTATGTAATTTTTTATCTACTGATTGTGATATATTTTCTACCATTTTAACAACTGCCATTGTTGTTGACCTATGAGCTCTGAAACCAAACTGATATTCATTCATTGTATTGTTTACTTCAACATAGCTATCTAATCTTTTAACAAATAATTTCTCTAATATTTTTGAAAATTGTGACAACAGAGAAATAGGTCGATAATTACAAAACAAATGTTTATCGCCGCCTTTGTACAGTGGGAGAACTTTTGATATTTTCATTTGATTTGGGAATATACCAGTTTTAAAGGATTGATTACAAATATATGTAAATGGATAAATAATATTTTCAATAATATGTTTAACCATAAACATATCAAACCCATCATTATCAGTTGACTTTTTATTCTTGCAGTCTTTCACTATTTTCAATATTTCATCTTTATTGGTTGGGTTTAAAAAAAATGAATTTGGACTTTCATATGTCACCCCAATTTCCATTTCATTGTTTGGAATGGGTACAATTTTCTTTGCTAAATTATAGCCTATATTTACGAAATAATCATTAAACTCTTTAACTATTTCCTCCGTACGACGTATTGTGTAGTTGTCTTTATTAAAGTAATTAACACTATCCGTATTGCTGTGTTTTTTATGTATTAAATCATTAAGTACTTTCCATGTTCCCTGAATGTTTTGTCTATGTTGTGTCAACAATTTTGTGTAGCAATCTTTCTTACTATTTCTAATTATATTAACTAGTTTATTCTTGTACGTTTTGTATTTGCTTTCAGCAGCTTGTGTTCTGGAGTGTAAAAATTTCCTATATAGTACATTTTTCTTCTTGCAGGACTTTATAATTCCTTTAGTAAACCACGGTTTCTGCATATTACATTTATATGTTATTGTTTTGAATGGACAGCATTTATTATAGATTTCTAGTAATCTCTCCAAAAAAATACCATAGGCTTCATTAGGATTTTCATAGCTATAAATGTCATCCCAGTTACACTTATTTAATTCCATTTGCAGTGTTTCAATTGCTCCAGGTGTTCTATGTCTCACTGTTCTTGAATATATAGTTGGACCTGATAGTGGTTTAAACACATTTTGAAAACATGCAAAAACAGGCAGGTGGTCACTAATATTGGTCATTAATATACCTCCATCAATTTTACCAATGTCATTTGTAAATATATTATCAATTAATGTTGCTGATACTGTTGTTATTCTTGTCGGCGAAGCCGACAAGAATATCTTCTTTCTTTATAAGAAGATATAAAGAAATTTTATATCTTTATGTTTGAAGCCTGAAATGTGGCGAAATGTTGAAAGGTTCAAGGGGGCCGAATACTTTCGCAAGGCACTGTATCTACCACTCTCCATCTCTCTATGTATGTGCTATATGTATCTACCCGTCTATCTGTCTTTGTATGTATGCATGTATCTAAGTATCTCTCTATATGTACAGTAGGTATCTAAGAATGTTAGTATGTATGTATCTAAGTATCTCTAAGTATGTATCTAAGTATCTCTCTAAGTATGTACAGTAGGTATCTAAGAATGTTAGTATGCATGTATCTAAGTATCTCTTTAAGTATGTACAGTAGGTATCTAAGAATGTTAGTATGCATGTATCTAAGTATCTCTCTAAGTACGTACAGTAGGTATCTAAGAATGTTAGTATGCATGTATCTAAGTATCTCTCTAAGTATGTACAGTAGGTATCTAAGAATGTTAGTATGCATGTATCTAAGTATCTCTTTAAGTATGTACAGTAGGTATCTAAGAATGTTAGTATGCATGTATCTAAGTATCTCTAAGTATGTATCTTAGTATCTCTCTAAGTATGTATGCATGTATCTAAGTATCTCTCTGAGTATGTATGTATGTATCTAAGTATATCTCTAAGTATGTATGTATCTCTATGTATGTATCTAAGTATGTCTCTATGTATGTATCTAAGTATCTCTCTAAGTATGTATCTAAGTATGTCTCTATGTATGTATCTAAGTATCTCTCTAAGTATGTATCTAAGTATCTCTCTAAGTATGTATCTAAGTATCTCTCTAAGTAACTCTCTATGTATGTATGTATGTATCTCTCTGAGTATGTATGTATGTATCTAAGTATCTCTCTAAGTATGTATGTATGTATCTAAGTATCTCTCTAAGTATGTCTCTAAGTATCTCTCTAAGTATCTCTCTAAGTATGTATGTATGTATCTACTGTATGTGTGTATGTATGTGGAGTTGGGCGGGAGGGGACAGCAGTGGGATTACTTCATCCTCAATTGTTGGTTTTTCAGGTTTTCGATTGAAGCTCAATTCAAAGTGAGAACGAGACCGAAAATATGTCCCACTGACCACATCTGTTAGAAGGTCCTGGGTTTGAAGCCCAGTCGGAGCAGGGTCTTTCTGAGTGGAGCATGTTCTTTCCCCGGGTGCTTCCAGTTTCCCTCACCACTAGAAAAACATGTAATAGGTAAAATCCTGCAGGTCCTGACCATAGACTGTAAATACAACAGTAATGGTCCGGACCGAGCCGAGCCGAGCATCCACCTCTGGAGATGGTTCCCGGGCGCTGGACTACGGCGACCACTGCTCCTTCTGGGTCAAATGCAGAGGGTAAATTGCTGAACAGGAATTAATAAAAAGAGCACATTTGCCTTCTTGGACTGCCCCGGCCTTCACACCTGTTGGATTTACAACATGACATTGAATGAATTTGACTTCCTGTGACCCAGATTTGAAGAAGAAGATCTAGTATATTCAGTTCAATGTATTTCTGCAAAGCCCAAAATCACAACAGGTCATCTCAAAGAACACATACATTAATAAAATGCAGAGGCAATTTAACCAAAGTCCAACTAGTATGACATATAAACAGTATAAAATAAAGTGGTTGGATTAAATCAATAAAGTTAAGCACCTTTTCCACATAACTCTGTCAGGAATAAAACCAAATGTCAGTAACAATATTGTCGGACTTCCTTGACTTGATCAGGTTAATCCAACATGACAGAGTTATGTGGATAAGGACGTTACTTATCATTAGATCAGTTTGAGTATAATAACAATGAAACAGCAGCTGTCTTTTGCTCATGGCCTCTTTAAAGAACCTGTTTTTAAATACATAGATCTATAAACGTCTTAGTGCAGCTCCATGTTCCTCCTTAAAGACGTCTCTAGTTGAGGTTAGCTTTGTGTTTCTGATCCACAATCAAACTTTCCCTGAAGTTTCTGCCAAAAATCCGTCCTGTGCAGCTGCCATAAGGAACGACGAGCCTTTCCCCTCTGACAGTTTGTGTGTGTAACTCTCTGTGATGCAACGCAGCTTTTAGACTTTTAGACTGCGGAGACAGATCTGGGACATGTGCCATACAGATGTGGTCAGCGGGACATACTTTCAGTCTCATTCTCACTTTGAATTGAGCTTCAATCGAAAACCTGGAAAACCAAAAATCTGAGGATGAAGTAATCCCACTGCTGTCCCCTCTCACCAACTCCACATACATACAACCATAGGTACATATGAGAGAGAGAGGAGAGAGAGAGAGAGATACATAGAGAGATGCATACAACCATAGGTACATATGAGAGAGAGAGAGAGAGAGAGAGAGATACATAGAGAGATACATACAACCATAGGTACATATGAGAGAGAGAGGAGAGAGAGAGAGAGAGAGAGAGATACATAGAGAGATACATACAACCATAGGTACATATGAGAGAGAGAGGAGAGAGAGAGAGAGAGAGAGAGATACATAGAGAGATACATACAACCATAGGTACATATGAGAGAGAGAGAGAGAGAGAGAGAGAGAGAGAGAGATACATACATACATACATAGAGAGATGGGTATACATACTGTAGATACATACAAGCTTAGATAGAGAGAGAGAGAGAGAGGGGGATTAATACATATGCATGCATACAAAGATAGAGAGAGAGAGATGGGTAGATACATAGATAGATACATACATGGATAGATATGAAGATAGATTGATGTATACAAACATCAATAAATACATAATTCTACATAAGTTACGTACAATAGTCATTAAGTACATGTTTAACTCTGATTTGTCTTAAAAATATCTAAATATCTGCTCCAAAAAGTCTCAACAAACACCAAAGAGAGATTAAACAATGCCTTTTCAGCCCGTGTGTGTGTGTGAGTGCTTTCTTGTGTTTCTCCCACTACACACCAGCAGTAGTTGTGGTTTGGTATTCCCAAAATCTTCCTCCCTCTCCCTCTCTCCCTCTCCCTCTCTCCCTCTCCCTCTCTCTCTCTCTCTCTCCCTCTCCCTCTCCCTCTCTCCCTCTCTCTTCCTCCCTCTCTCTCCCAGGTACACGCCCTTTTGACTTGTCAGGGGGAAAAGTTTTGAGGAAAGAAAAAAAAATCACTGAATCGCGGAAGAGATTTTGCAGTTCTACTAGTTTGGCAAGTTCCGTGCGCCTCAAAGCAGCGCAGAAAGGCGGGGACCGGGGCACTATCAGACTTTTTACGCGCGGTAGAACACTTCTCCTGTCCCGCAGACGCCAAACGGTGAGTCCACGTTTCATTTTTTTTGGCTTGAACTTATCAGGTTTATGACGTTGCCTTTGCTCCTGCTTTTTTTTTTTTTTTTTTTTTGCCACGTTTCGTTACAGTCTGGAGCCATATCCCCCAATCCCGGATTTATTGACACTTTTTTTGTTTTGTGTTATTGTTTCAACTTTTGCGCGTAAAGGTATAGTTCATGGCGCGGGTCAAAACAACACGATGCCATTTCACCTGCGTCTCTGCTTCTCTTTTGTCGCCTGGATATCTGATATTTTCATGTAGATCAGTTGTCAAGTCGCCTATCAACTGAAAAAAGCCTATCAAAAATTGAAATGGCGAGGGGAGCGCACGCAGCCAGACTCCAACCAATAACCTCCGTGCGTAAAATCAGTATCATTACGCAACTTTACGCTACTTTTACGCTCTCTCTTCTAACATATGCTGCAGTGGGATTCCTTCACGCAGAGAGAGAGGGGAGTTTTCTGGGATGTCCAGTGTTGAGTTGGCAGGGGTGAAGCTGAAGCCGTGCTGACAGGCGCGCTCTCCAACTCCTGCACTATAATAATATATATACATGGCCCCAGACTGAAGCCAAGGCGTCCCCTGTATCTCTTATACTCTCTGCAATTTACAGCCACAACCTAACTTGTTCCTCCGTTAATATTTGATGGCACACGTCGAGTAGTATTGTCATTACTCTGCGCACATACCAGATCGCATTCGCCTTTTTGGAAACGCTATCCACTCTATCAGCCCGAGGGGAAATGGGAGAGCTGTGGTAGTAGCCCGGGCCTGTGAATTTAATTATTTGCTTTTTACGACAAACAGCGTGGATTGGTCTGTTTCCTTCCCCTTCCGTGGGACGAGATGCTCTGACGTGGGTGTAGTCCAATGTAGTCCAAGGGCTCGTTTGTCGAAATTAGAGCGTCTTTGAAATCCAAGGAACAGCTCAAGAGCCGTCTGGACGTCAATAATACATGTGTGAATGGACCAGGCCCGCGTCTAAGAATAGAGCTGTATGTTTTTTTTTGTTTAATGACAGCAACGAGAGAGAAGTGCTGGAGCAGTTTTGGTGAGGAGGGTGTGTCAGGACTGCAGGCAGAAGTCCTCTAGTTCCTATAGTTTTGCAACCAAAGCCGTGGAGTCAAATTTAGACCTAAAAAAAGTATATTTAGTACTTATTTTCACATAATGCTCACTTTAGTATGTGTAGGTTCGTAAAGCCTATAGCTGTAGCCTGTTATAGTCTATGATTTATGTAGGCGTCAAAATGTCATATGAAGACTTCACTGTGAAATCCTGGTGATGTAATAACTCTGCAATGATGAGAACCTACATTTTGTTTCATGGTTTAAGAGAATTTTCAAGCAGCTTTGAAGTTATTGAGGTGTAATTGGGAGGGGCTTAATCAACGACTACACTGTACATCGCTTCATGCTTCTTGTCATGTAGTAAAAGTTAGTAAAATAGTCATGTAAGGGAAGTCCTGGCCCCAATGGAAGAAATGTGTTAGTTGTACATGTTTTGTGCAAACCGTAGCACCTGGAGGAAACCTGTGCAGACATGAGTTGAACATGGCAGCTCCATACAGAAAGTTACTGGGCGATTCCCCATTGGTGTTTTTTTCTAACCACCTACAAAAAAGAGTGTTTCTAATTAAATATGAGCTAATACATTTATGATCCAAATGTATTGCTTTGTTGTAAAACTATGTCATATCTCATTTCATTATCCAGGTTAAGTCTAGAGTAGCACCCGATGCAAGGTCTCGAGTATGGGCTCAGAAGGTCAAAGTGAAAGAGTAGATTATAATGGCTGTGTGCTGTCTGCCCAGGCCTCTCATATCTCGTAATGACCCTAAGAGGGACACGTCCTAATTGGTCACATATGCTCAGAGAAATTGTGCGTGCTCCTCTGTGACTGCTTAAGTGTGACATGCACATTTAGCAAATTAGAGAATAATTTGCCGGGCAGACAGCACTGAGCAGAAGCAGAAAAAGACAGAGGCAGAGACAGAAAGAGGCAGAGAAAGAGACAGAGAGAGAGGCAGAGACAGAGAAAGAGGCAGAGAAAAAGAAAGAGAAAGAGGCAGAGACAGAGACAGAGGCAGAGAAAGAAAGAAACAGAGGCAGAGACAGAGAAAGGTGCAGAGAAAGAGTCAGAGATAGATGGAGACAGAGACAGAAAGATGCAGAAAAGAGGCAGAGACAGAGAAAGAGGCAGAGAAAGAGACAGAGAAAGAGACAGAAAAGAGACAGAGAAAGAGGCAGAGAAAGAGACAGAGAAAGAGACAGAGAAAGAAAGAAACAGAGAAAGAGGCAGAGAAAGAGACATATGGAGACAGAGACAAAAAGAGACAGGGGCAGAGAGAGATAAAGATGTAGAGAAAGAGGCAGAGGCAGAGGCAGAGACAGAGACAGAGACAGAGACAGAGACAGAGGCAGAGGCAGAGACAGAGGCAGAGGCAGAGGCAGAGGCAGAGGCAGAGGCAGAGACAGAGACAGAGACAGAGACAGAGGCAGAGGCAGAGGCAGAGGCAGAGGCAGAGGCAGAGGCAGAGACAGAGACAGAGACAGAGACAGAGACAGAGGCAGAGGCAGAGGCAGAGGCAGAGGCAGAGGCAGAGGCAGAGGCAGAGGCAGAGACAGAGACAGAGACAGAGACAGAGGCAGAGGCAGAGGCAGAGGCAGAGGCAGAGGCAGAGGCAGAGACAGAGACAGAGACAGAGGCAGAGGCAGAGGCAGAGGCAGAGGCAGACCACTCGAGGTGGTTACTGGTGCGTTTAAGAGCAGCACATCCTGTCGGGACAAGTCTCCTGTTGTCGCCGAGTCCAAACTGTCAAAGCTGTGTTATTTGTGCAGTAGTATTTGAATAACGAGGATGACAGACATGTACAGTCCTCTAAGAACGCACGGCCCCCTCCTCGAAGGCCTCCGCTCTGGGCCAAACTACCAGCTTGGAGTTGTCTGCCTGTAAATTCCTGTCTAAGTGATCTTCGCAGACAGCAATGAATGGAATTCTTGCCAGGATGTGTCACTTACTGCACGTTTTACACTTGTAGCGTCTTAGCTATGTATTGATCTTAATCTACAGTGGAGTCACTCAATCGTCTCTCTGTTTCAGCAGGAGTGGGTGGAGTTATAGTTCTGCGGATGAAAGTATTCTTGGGACAGAACGCTGAGGCAGGGGATGAAATGATGGGCTTTTATCTTTGTGACAATAGTGGAAATCTATTAGAAGAGCTGGTATTTGGATTCTTGGTAAAGTAAGAGGGGAGCATGAAGTTAAATTATCATAATATAAAAACTGCTGCTTTGACACCGAACCGTAAACTCTGGTCCATGATCATTTCCTACATGTACGTCTGGTCTTACCATGTGTAAACTCTGGTCCATGGTCATTTCCTACATGTACGTCTGGTCTTACCATGTGTAAACTCTGGTCCATGGTCATTTCCTACATGTACGTCTGGTCTTACCATGTGTAAACTCTGGTCCATGGTCATTTCCTACATGTACGTCTGGTCTTACCATGTGTAAACTCTGGTCCATGATCATTTCATATCCTCCAGACTCGATTTCTGCAACAGTCTCTTATATGGCCTTCCTTCATCTGATCTCCAAAAACTACAATATGTCCAAAACTCCGCCGCCCGCCTCCTCACTCAGACCCGCTCCAGAGAGCACATCACCCCTGTCCTTCAAAAACTCCACTGGCTCCCTGTTAAACAGCGCATCCATTTCAAAATCCTCCTCATCACCTACAAAGCCCTCCATAACCTCGCTCCTCCTTACCTCACTGAACTTCTACAGCCCTACAGTCCCTCCCGCCGACTCCGATCTGCAGACTCACATCTCCTCACTCCCACTGTCAAATCTAAGCACCGAACCTTGGGGGACCGAGCTTTCGCCATCTCTGCTCCCACTCTCTGGAACTCCCTCCCCCTCCATCTCAGAAACTCGGACTCTCTAAACTCCTTCAAAAAACAGCTCAAAACTCACCTTTTCCTCCGAGCATTTGACTCTTAGTTTAAACTCTCTACCCTTCTTCCTCACTCTTAGATGTTTAGTTTGTGTGTCTGTCTAAACGTGTGTGTTTGTGTCATGAACTTGTGAAGCGTCTTTGAGTCCTTGAAAAGCGCTATATAAAACTGATGTATTATTATTATTATTATTATTTCCTACATGTACGTCTGGGTCTGATCCTAGTGGCTGCAGTTTCTTTGGTTGAATTCCCTCCGACCAATCAGAGAGCGGGGGAGGCGGGTGTTGTAGGTCGGTGTCGGTGACGTCAAGAGTTTGTGCTGAATTTGCTGGTTGTAGTTTGTCGGGGAATGTGTAAAATAATCTGTTCTGGTTCAATTCAAATATCAAGAAACTGAAGCCGGAGCAAGAGAAATGTTTAGAGAATGTCATTGAAGCAAAGATGTTGTGGCTCTACTCCCCATGGGCTCCGTTAGTGACAAAGGGGCGGCACGGTGGCTGAGTGGATAGCACTCTCGCCTCTCAGCAAGAAGGTCCTGGGTTCAAATCCCGGTCTAACCAGGGCCTTTCTTAGTGGAGTTTGCATGTTCTCCCCGTGTCTGCGTAGGTTTCCTCCGGGTGCTCCGGTTTCCCCTACCACTAAAAATATGTCCAATAGTTCTAGCATGCGCCTCCTGTACTGGCGACCCCGCTCCCATCTCTGTGTGGAGTGAGAGGACAATTGCCCAAAAATAACAATTGTAAACCGCTTTGTGACTCTGGTCTGTGAAAGGCGGTATATAAATAAAGATTACTTACTTACTTACAAAGGAGATGGCTAAAGCTAGGCTAAATGCTAAAGCTAGGCTAAATGCCTCACTCACTCGGGCTCATTACATATGTCACAGTAAACTCAGATCCAATGGTTTCAATCTGCGAAAGGAGTTAGCCCCTCCCACCTGTTAACGGAGATAATCTAGACCTTAGTATGAAATGCAATTAGTACGATGGTATGGTAAGACCAGACTACACAAAACCCAAAATTCACACTAGTCCGGTTCACTTTAACTGGACCAAGTCTGGTTCACATGAGGGATCAGATCTGTTCTAAATGATATAATCTGCCTCAAAGTATGTGACTTATGGAAACACGTCCACTTGTTTGGTGCTTTTACATCCACAAATAAAGTAGTTTTGCCCCAAAGTGAACCAGAGTTGGTCTATTTAAAGTGAAGCACTCCAACAATCGTTGCGTTGAGTTGTGGGAATGTGAAAGCACCAAACTCGTCATCACAGTCGGTTCACTTCATATGAACCTGATTGTGACACGCCTTGAAACAAGACAAGACATCAAAGAATTATATTGCCCCTTTCTGCCTTCATGTTGCGACATATCATATCTACCAAACTAAACTTTTAATGCCTTTTATAACCGCTTGAGTCACCCAGGGCAGCTCCAATTTGAAAAAGTACTTCATTGTGAAACGCTAGCCTTGCACAGGTGGCAAATGTGTTAAGCTGTAATTACAGGTGCAACAATGTGATTAGAGTGGTGTATGCCAGGCTATCACACATATATTTTACATGGGCATTGGGACGGGTGGCAGAGGAGATACTGCAGTTATGTACGTGGTAATTCCTCAAGAAACCGGACACTGGCCGTGCTGGCAGCTTGAGTAGATCGGGTGACCTATCAAAGATCAGCGCTGCCTTTGTCATGAGCTTGTATCTCAATCAGACTCGCTCTCAGCCTCTTCACGTCACTGTCTCTCCTCAGCTCCACACAGGAGATTAGCTTGGGCTTTTTCCACTGGATGTCTGTCACTGTTTTGAAACACACACTTAAAAATGATTGCACAAGCACGATTTACTCTTGAGTTAAAATGTGATGTTTGTTGAATGACTCTTTGCATAGTTTGAGTGTTTTTCCTTTCACCTGCAGAGGAGTCATGGAGGCTGCCATTCAATCCCTGGTGAAGGTCTACCTGAAGTCCAGCAAAGGAAAAGAAAACCTGAGAAAGAAGGACTTCCAGAACCTCGTCTCGAGCCAACTCAGCAACATCCTCTCGGTTAGAAGCTTCTCTTATAAAACTGTCTCCCACGCTGTTGGTGATTATGCAACTGTGCTTCTAATAGTGCCAGTAGTTTTGCAGACCGCCAGCGCTGCCTGGACCTGTCTGCTCTGACAAACGTGGGGTTACATACAGTATGTGAATGGGAAAAGTAATGTGATATAGATTGTATTATAATGTAAATGGAGAGCTGATAAGAGGGTCCTTTGCTCGTGGTGAGAGTCCAGCTCTTGTTACCTTACGCTCATCATCCTGTCTCCTGTCTTTGTGCTCCACAGGGCACGGACAGTAAGGAGGCCATCAACAACATGGCTGCTGGGCTGGATGAGAACCAGGATGGTAAACTGGGCTTCCCGGAGTACATGAAGCTGATCGGATACTTGGCGGTGTCTCTGAGCGAACAGCAGGGACAGGCCAAGGAAGAGCCCAACCAAAACGCCACAGGGCAAGTGGCTCAAAGCAGCCCAGACAAAGAGGAGAAAGCTGAGGCCACAGAGGCCAATGCAGAAGTCAAAGCTGAGCCTAAAGCTGAGCCTGAAGCTAAGCCCGAAGCCGAGCCTAAAGCCGAAGCCAAGCCTAAAGCCGAGCTGAGTGAGGTGGTGGCCGCCGCCGCAGCAGAGGTCCCCGCCACAGCGCTCTCTGTGGAACCTTCAAAGGTTGAAGTAGGAGCAGAAGTGAAGGCTGAAGGAGAGGGCCCCAAAGGAGAGACCACCGAGACCGTGGTCACCACGACAACAGTGACGACGGTGGTGAATGAGGTGGTGAACGGAGTGAGTGAGTTCTCCGAAGTTACCAAGGTCAAAGAGGTGAAGGAGGTGGATGGAGAGGTGGAGGTGAAGGAGGAGGTGAAGGTGGAGACAGTCAAAGCAGAGGAGGCTCCAGCTGCTGAGGAGAAGAAAGAGGAGACGGCCTCATAGAGGACAGTACTGAGCCGACACTACAGAGATGTCACCCTCAAGTGGCAGACAACACTACACAAACCCTCCAATAATGAACTCTTGTAAAACAATCATATCAACACTAAAGTATAAAAATTGCCTTTATATTTTGATACCCCATGTAGATGGCAAATGAAAATGACTTTGTACTACTACTTATTATGTCCATATGTACAGCATGTGCATTCCCTTATTCAGCACATTTACCTCATATGATTTATGATGCTATGTGTCAATCCCTGTGAAAGATGTGCCAGTTGACAAACCACTAGAGCCAATGTGTCCCATCTCTCTACTTTTTCCTGTTGAGGCAGTCTCCAGGCTGAACCGCAACTGTCAACAAATACTCCTGAACATTTAACATGACAATAAACAAGTTGTTTTGCTCCTTTTAGTCTCCATATGACACCATTTATTCTTATATTATCTATTGTTAGTGCAAACCCATTGTTCCTAGTTCTGGGATCTCCCAAAAGATGAATTTCACTCAGAGTTACATGGTGGACAGGAGAGTTGGCCTGTAGTCAAATAATTGAGTGTCCGAGATGGAAAGCACACCAAAGGGCCTTCTGGTTCAAAGGAGGCCTGTGTCATCCACTGGGAGCGGACTGCAGGTCAGGGAGGTGTTCGCTCATGCAACCTAATCCTGAGGATTAGATCTGGCCATAGCTACACTAACTAAAGACTACAGAGTGTCAGACACGACAGGTGACACTGGTGCTATGTGCCTGGTTCTGTCCCCAGGTCTGCAGGCCCTGAGCTGCAGTAGTGAGGAGAGTCCATAAAGAAATGTCCCATTGTTTAGTGAGGCTGTTCTTTTCATTTGTCCAGGCCTGTGCTTATTGTCTTTGCCGGTCACGCCTTAGTACAGTTAAAAACCCTGTTTGACCTGCAACTGGATCCTTCTGTCCCGAGCATTGGGATAGTGTGGATTAAGCATCTGGTGGTAACACGCCCAAGGAACAAACAAATACAGGAAAGTAATCCTGGGCTTCAGGGATGCACCAATCAGACGAGCTGGTAGTAGTTTTATGTGTTGAATAAAATACTGAGCCATCAACGTGAGCCAAAGTGCTTTTTACACCAATGTAACCCATCGCTCAAAAATCTCTTGTTTATTACTGTTGTATTATGGCCATTGCTCCTTGTAAACAGAATCTCTACCATTTTGTATTTATCATCTTATTGGACCACTATGGATATCACTTGAAAATGCTTTACCACATTATATGCAATGTTGCTATGTTATGTAGGTTTGCTTGGTCTCCGGTTCTAAACGTGCTTCCAACCGCTAAACAGCAAGACAAATACTGAATCCCTGCGTCTCTGGGACACTCCCATTGTAAATACAGCAGCCCCACACTACTCAGCCTTTCCCTGACTATTCCCTGGTTATTCCCTGACTATTCCCTGGTTCTTCCCTGACTATTCCCTGGTTATTCCCTGACTATTCCCTGGTTCTTCCCTGACTATTCTCTGACTATTCCCTGGTTATTCCCTGACTATTCCCTGGTTCTTCCCTGACTATTCTCTGACTATTCCCTGGTTCTTCCCTGACTATTCTCTGACTATTCCCTGGTTCTTCCCTGACTATTCTCTGACTATTCCCTGGTTCTTCCCTGACTATTCTCTGACTATTCCTTGACCATTCCCTGACCATTCCCTGACTATTCCAAGACTATTCCCTGACTATTCCGACTATTCTCTGACTATTCTGACTATTCCCTGACCATTCCTTGGTTAATCTCTGACTATTCCAAGACTATTCCCTGACTATTCCGACTATTCTCTGACTATTCTGACTATTCCCTGACCATTCCTTGGTTAATCTCTGACTATTCCCAGACTATTCCATGACTATTCCTGACAATTCCATGACTATTCCCCGACTATTCCCTGACTATTCCCTGACTATTCCCTGCATGCTTATCCATTTTATTGACCATGTGGGTTTTAAACTATATTTTTTATCTACCAATGTTTTTGTAAATGTTATGGTACTTGTTGCTGAAACACATGGAACCGTTGAAGAGTCTGTGAAGGCTGAATCTCGCCTCTTGCTCGGGGAGAGACCGCAGCAGCGAGATGCATTCTTTGCGATCCCAACAGGCCAGTGGTTTTTGTTTCGCAATCGTTCCTTCGTCTCTTTCTCCTCGCTCTTTTGGAACCGGCGGAATAAGTGTGTCAAATGAGCTCGCACCGCATCTGTGTTCTTTTGGAGCGTTGCCAAAACATTCCTATCCTAATGAGAAGTTCCGGGCGGATTCCTTTAATGCCGCTATGAGCTTTTTTAAATGATAGCGCTAATAAATTGCAAAAATGGAGTGGCTTTTCATGAAGGCTTTTGGGAATCTCTGGCTGTTATAATAATAGTGAAGACCCCACCCATCCTTAATGTTGATTAGAAACATTTGCAGCAGGGAGTGTTCATAGCCGTGATACATTTTATATTCCAGAGATAACATTTGCAGCCAATATGCGGATGTTCCCGGGTCCCCATTGTGTGTTTCTTTCCTGCCACATTTACAGCTCATTGCGATCTCTTGTATTTCAAACATGTAATGCTGTATCATTTTTGCTTAATCTTTGTATCATGTAATGGCTAATATTGAATAAAACTGTGACAATATTGTTTTAAGAAAAATGTGTGTCTTTCTGTTAAAGCACAAATGAATGAAAAGTGTTTGTGAAAAGCCAAAGGAGGAGTCAATGTAGAAAGGAAAGACTTATTGATGTATTCATAGTAAGTAAGAATATTAAGAAATTTGCACATTAAAACACATGATTGATCGATAGATAGATAGATAGATAGAGAAAGAGATGGAGATAGAGGCAGATAAATACAGATAGAGATAGAAAGATAAACAGTGAGATTGATAGATAGAGCTAGAGAAAGAGATGGATAAATAGGTAGATAGATAAACTTGGATAGAGATTAGTTTCCCCACTATGGGACTAAAAGAGGCTTCATTCACTCATTCATACAGATAGACAGAGAGGGAGAGAGAGATAGATAAGATAGATAGAGAGAGAGAGAGAGAGGTGGGTAGATAGATAGATAAACTTGGGTAGAGAGAGATATATACAATAATGTAATGTTCCCATTTTATACGTGGGACTAATATAGACTTCATTCATTCATTCATAAAGATAGATATGGAAAGAGAGAGTGCGAGAGAGAGAGATCGATAGAGAGATATATAGATAGATAGATTGTGACGATTGTGACCTTACACTGAACAGTTTGCTCGGTTGCTTTGAGATTTCACCTGTGTCGTGTTACTTCCTGGTTGAATATGAGCAGATATGATCGTGGCGGCGGTTTCCATAGCAACCGCCAAGTAAACAAGGGCGAAAGCGTTGAGGAATTTTCACAATAAAATAAGCAAACATGAGACAACAGCTTTATCTGATTAAACATGTGAATGTTTTAACTGTCAGATCAGTGCTTTCCTGGTGCGCTGAAGGTCTTTTGACTCCAAAAGACTTGATTAATATAAAACTACAATCAATATTTACCATTTGATCTGCTCCTGCGGTAAAAGCCATCACACAGAATGGTGACAGAAGTACTTGTAATACTAGTTAAGTTTTGTGGTTGTCAGAATAATTAAACTGAAAACTGTATACTTATCCCAAAATGATAATATGAATTGAGAAGAGAGGTGAGAAATTGGACAGTTGGGTAAAACTCATTTCAAAGTGATACAATAGAGTGGTCACAAATACTATGAGGCA